GGGGGGGGGACTGCATGGCCGTTCTGTCCCGATGCACTCATGTGTGTGCTTAGTTGTGCTGTTCGCTGTCTGTCATGGGGGTTTGTCTGTCTGTCCGTCCGTGTGTGTGGCTGTCCGTCTGTGTGCCTGGCTGTTCCCTCCGATGTGTGATTTGTGTCCTTTTGTTATGCTGCACACATACCCACACACGCAGCAGCACCACACCCGCTACACTGCCCATGTGGGCGTCTTCACGGGCTGGCTCAGGACGACATGAACGGTGCACAAGACATGAACGGTGAGCATGCTACTCAGAACCCACACATCTGCATATCTCAGACTTTTCACTTGTGTCTCGGGTTGTGTCTCAGATGGCTGCCTACGTTTTATATCCAGATGGGCATGTGATCACTTCTCACCGGTTCCAGGATCACGCGACCACGGCAACAGCGGTGAGTGACGCTGGTGAGGCACGATGGTGTGGGTGGATGCACATGTTGTCTTGTCTTGTGTTGTGTTGTTGGATGGGTATAGGTCAAGATACAGCGCTGCTTGAGAGGTCAGAGGGCCACACTCGCCATTCGCACCATCCACCCACACACGCGTCATGTCATCCGGTTTGCGTGGTCAGGCTGGAGGGGTCGCTGGGAGGCAGACTTCCTGAAGGCCGTCCAATACCATCAAACACTGAGACGCCTGACACACATGCACATGCACACGCACACGCACACACACACGCACACGCACGATTCACTTCAGTGCTTCGATGCTCCTGTCCTGCCAGACCGTCATTCAGGCGCACTGGCGCCGCGTCCTCGCCGTCCAGAACCTCCAATGGGAGTATATGGTCAGTCAGCACCCAACAATCACACCACGCACACCACCACACACCTGACAGCTCTCTGTGTGTGTGTGTGTGTGTATGTATGTGTTCTTTTGGTCGCTTGTTGGCCTGTCAGGTGCGGCGGATACTGAAGGAGCGGAACGCCCCGGCGGCCACGATACAGAGGGCCTACGCACTCAGGTATAACACTCCCTCCCTCACGCAGACACCGAACGGATGTGAGGACACACAAGCGACTCAGACTCCACCGAGCGGCGTATGTATGTCTCAGAGTTTTCACTTGTGTCTCGGGCTGTGTGCAGGAAGTCGCCGAAAAGGCGGCGGGCAAGCGACGGCAGCCTCGTGCCACATGTGAGATTGTGGCTGCGCGAGCAGCCGCATCGCCGCAAGTGGTGGGAGATGATGGAGGAGGAGGGCGAGGACCAGATGTGCAGCCACGGCCCCATTAGCGGGGGCATGTAGAGACGAGGAGAGGGGAGGGGCTTGAATCAGGGGAGAGAGAGAGGTTACGGTGACGGGGAAGGCCATGGGTACTGAGAGGCTGCGTGGCTGGCCTGCCTGTATGTGCGGGGGGGGGACTGCATTACATAGCCTTTGTTTGTGTGCTTAGTTGTGTTGTTGGCTGTCTGTATACGTACTTCATGGGGGTTTGTCTGTCTGTCTGTCCGTGTGTGTGGCTGTCCGTCTGTGCGCCTGGCTGTTCCCTCCGGTGTGTGATTTGTGTCCTTCTGTTATGCTGCACGCATACCCACACACGCACGACACCCGCTACACTGCCCATGTGGGCGTCTTCACGGGCTGGCTCAGGAAGGAGGACTGACTTCACTCTCAGACGGCAAGAGAGGCACTGCATGGTGATGTGTGTGGGGGGGCGTCGGTTGGCTGTCTGTCTGTCCGTCTGTCTGGCTGTGGCAAGTCATTCCTTCGGGGGTGCCCTTCGGGGAGGCTTGGGTGTCTTGAATGAACTCTTGGGTGTGTGAGTGACCGACTGGATGCGGAGGAGGGAGCACAGGGTGTCCAGCGCTTTGTTGCTGCTGCGAATCGCTGCTTACATTTTATATCCGTCGTACGTGATTGACCGAATCATGCGTTCGTGCGGATTGTGTGAGAGACACGGCTTGGCGTGTCATGTGGGGTGATGGATTCCCATCTGACGAGACATCACTGGCAATTCAACTCTTGCACGGGTTAAATCATTCATCCCTGTGGGCTGATGTCTCTTGCTGGCAATTTTCGGATGCACTCACAGAAATGTGTGGGCTGGTGTGCTCAGGCGTGCACACACTGGGAGGATTTAGCGTGAGCGTCCGGTCGAAGCGAGCCGTAGGAGAGAGGCCGTCTCATACTCACCACACACACACTCACCACACATTCAGTGCAGACACACAGACAGACAGACAGACAAGACACCGACGGATGCACGGATGGATGGATGGGGGCATGATGTATGCGTGTGTCGTGAATATATATTCATTGAACTGACTGGCTCCTCCTTTTCATCCATTCATGCACCGCACCGATGCATGTATCGGTCTCTTTTTATGATGGGATGCGATACGCACAAGAGTGAGTCACGGACGCCTTCCTCCAGTCCAGCCAACACGTAAACCTTTGATTTCCATGCAATGCACCAAAACACACCTGTCTGTCTGTCTGTCTGACCTTTTCACTCACGACCAACTGACCTAATTGCCCTACTTACACCTACAAAACCTGCCTGTCACCTCACCTGTCTATAGATGTATGTGCCCTCGTCCATCCAGCGCACGCACCGCAAATGGGATGCATGGCATTGCGCTGCAAGGGGACGCACGGCGCATCGACCACACACGGATCACCGCACTGCCCTTGCAGCATCACACTCACACCCAAAAACCAGCACGAGTCAGTCAGCGGTCGAAAACGACGAAACGACGCCACACCGACCAGCCGCTCCGTCTCAGCACCACGGACGAAAGCCATATCGCCCCTCCTACCTGTCAGCTGCCTGCCTGCCTGCCTGCCTGCCCACCACCTAAGAGTCTGCCTGTCTACGACTCAATATCTTCTACGCAGACTACGACTCAATATCTTCTGTATAGTCTGCGTAGAAGATATTGACCTTGTTGTCCACCAGGATGTGCAGCAGGTCCTGCAGTGCCTGGTCCTCGTGCTCGCCCTTGATCCACCGGGTGAAGGCCTCCTCCCCACCGTCGACACTGCAGGCCAGGTGCACGTCATCGTAGCGCTTCTCATTCAGGTACTGCTCCTTCTTGTCGATGATCCCACGGAGCTCCTCCATCTTGTAGTCCTCGTTGTTCGCGATGGTCTCCGGGGTGAGGGCAATGACGCACAAAAGCGCATGAGGGCCAGTCGGGGCGGTCATGATACGGTTGATGGGATGTTTCGCCACCAGCTTCTCCCACCCGGCCATGTTGCCCTCGAAGAATTGGAAGAGACGCGGAGTCTCCTCCTCTTCGTCCGTGCCCCCGAGAACGAAGTCCATGATGTCCTCCTTGGTCATCGGCTCGAGGGCGCTGGGGATGTCGGCATCGCTGCCCTCTGGCTCACCCTCATCGGCCTCCTCTCCCTCAGTGTCTTCTGTGTCGCTGCTGTCGGCCATCAGCTGCTGCGCCTGCGTGTCCTCCGTCGGCTCGTCGTCTCTCTCGACAGCCGGCGATTGATCCGCAGTGATTCGACTGTCTTGGTCCTCACTGTCGGCTCCGTCCGACTCGGCAAAGAAGGCCACTCGCTTTTCATCCTGAAGCAGCGCCTCGAGCTCCTCTGGCGACCGAACGGCCTGCAGGTTCTTGAAGCCCAGTCCCATCAAGGCCTCGTTGATGCCTTGCACCATCTGGCGCTCGGTCTGCAGAGGGGCGGGCTCGTCGCACCCCAGCAGACGGTACAGCGGCCCCTTGTGGCTCAGCAAGTCGTCGAAGGTCAGGTATGAGTAGACGTATCCCTCATGCCAGAGCTCGCCGTCGCCGTCGCCGTCGCCATCGCCGCCGCCGAGCATGACAACCCGGTCCTTGTCGAGGTCAGCGAAATAGCCGTACTCGACCCACGTGCCGTCTGGCTCCTTGTGGTAGTATTCCCCGCTCTCCAACACCTGCACGCAGGCCAACAAACACCGACAGACGCACAGACAATGAATGCCCACACACACACACACATGCACCCATCCTCCACTCGTGCAGTCACCTTCTCGAGGGAGCGCGTGTCGCGATCGCCGTCCCAGTCATTGCCGGAGAGGCGCGTCAGATCCTCCACCTGACCAGCGAGTGCATGAGCACGGGCAGACAGACAGACAGACAGGCACACCCATCACTCAGTCAAGCAGACGATGCACACGTTGTGTGTGCGTAAGTGTGTGTATCGGTCGGTCAGTACCGTACCTGCGTCTTCCACCTCTGCATGGTGCGGTCCTCTGTGAGCGCGGCTTTCACCTCGCCCAGAACGGAGCATCCCAGGTGCTCAGGATAGCTGTCGAAACGCTGCATTGAATGCATCAAACACACACACACACACACACACACAGTTGCGCATGCGCACAAGCATATTCTCTCTGTGTGTCGGTCGGTGGCAACCAAGCTCACATTGAAGATGCTGTGCGTCTTGCCCTTCCATTTGAAGCCCACGACGCCGCGAGTGCTCATGACGACTTGCGGCTTCAAGTTGGTGGCGCCCCGAAGGTGGCGTGGGCCCATCGAGGGAAGCAAGCCGACGCGAGGATCGTTCGTGACGAGTAAGGCATCTATCTGTCTGCACCGGCAGCAGCAGAGCGGCTGCCGAGAGATGAAGCGACAGAACCAACGAGACCTTCATCGTGGAATGAGCGATGGAAAGCAATGGACGATCTTGTGTGATGCCAACGTAGTAAGAGGCTCGGGTCCTTCCCAGATAACAACAGATAAGAATGGGCGCCGACAGCTCCCTCCTCTCGGCTAAGCTCGCAGAAGAATGGACCGCCATTTCGCGGTGCAAACCGGAAGAAGCGAACTGAAGTGAATTGACTGATGGTCCGTCAGCACGAACAACCCTTATCCATGATATGGTCTCTCTCTCGCATTCAATTCATCCACACCCGCTCCACAAGACTCCATCACACTCACCCAGGGATCCCTCCCTCCCTCCCCGCCCTGCCGCCGATAAGGCCACGCACAGACAGACAGACAGACAGACAGACACTCCTCAATTCAACAGTCCCACTCACAGGCAGGCAGGCAGACAGGCAGACAGCCATCTTCAAACAGACAGAGAAGCCACGCACACGCCACAACACAACCCGGCGGCCACGGCTGTCCGCCACACCACATGCACCGCACCGCCCATTATCCATCCATCCACCCATCCCATCCTCCCGTCGATCTATCCATCTATCCATCGACTGATTGATTCCCCTAGCTCCGTCTGTCCGTCAGTCAGTGAGTCAGTTGCCGAGGTCCCTGTCGACCTCCCTCTCCAGGTCTCGCTCCTCGTCACGGTAGCTGCCGCGGCGGCGGTCCCCTCTGTCGTCGTACCTGTCCCGCTCGTCGTATCGGTCATAGTCACCGTTGCGCACGTCCCGCGTCTCGCGCTCCCTGTCGCGGTCGCGGTCGTCATAGTAGCGCTCCTCGTAACGGTCCTTCTCGCGCATGTAATCTGACCACAACACACCATGACACACCACAACACACCACACACATGCAGGTGTTTGCTGAAAAGAGATCTCTCTGTCTGTCTGTCTGTCTGTCTGTGGTGCTTCTCTTCACTTCGCCCTGTACAGACCATCTCTGTTGTAGTCGTCTCGCGGGTCTCGGTCGCGCTCTCGCGAGCGGCTGCGGTCACGGTAGCTGCGGCCACTACCGCCACCACCACTCCCGCCACCGAACCTGCAAGCACACACACACACACACACACCACACACACCAACACATAGCCACAACGGATGGATGGATCGGTGGATGGATGTGAGTGCTCACCTGCCCGAATCCCGGCCGCCGCCACCACTGCCACCGCCCCCGCCGCCGCTGCCCTTACGCCCCCTGAATGCAGACATGCATGGGTTGACACGAGCCCGTCATTCAATGGCGAAGGGAGCTTTCTTTGTTTCTTGTCAAAGCTTTGTGTGTGATGATGTGATGTGGTGGCGCTGCGTACACTTCGTATTGGCCGCGATCCTCCTCAATCTCGACCTCGCGCTCGTACAGCTTCCTGCACACACGCGCACACACACACATATGCCACACACGAGGGATAAACGACATTGGTGCACCTGTCTGTTCTGTCTGCCTGTGCTGTGCCCATTGGGCTAGGTCAGGTCAGCTTAGGTTGCTCTGCTCACTTTCCGTTGAGCTCCTTGATGGCGGCCTGCATGTCGCGGAAGGTGAAGTACTCGATCACTCTGACACACACACACGCACGACAGCTCGGGTCTGACAATGAGTGCGTGTGTGTGTGTATGGCTTGTTTGTCTTACCCGACTTTTCGCCCGTCACGGGTGAAGACGTTGGCGTAGTTGACGTCAGCCACTGCACACACGCAGTGCAGTGTGTCGGTGTGCCTGCCTGCCTGCCTGCCTGTGTGTGGGCAGGGGTGGTGTGTTTGTCACCGTTGCGTCCGAAATCCTTGAGGTCTTGCCACGACACACGCTCGTCCAGTCCCTCGACAATCTGAACACAACAAGACTCACATCGATCCACCCACCCTTCCTTTCTCGTCTGTCTGTCTGTCTGTCTCTGGAGTGTGGTTCACTCGAGAGACGCAGAAACCACGTGCACGTACCACTCTCCAGTCGGTGCGTCCGTCGTATCCCGTGGGCGCCGGCACCTGTGACTTGGGCGGCGGCGGCACGATCTGATCCACGGGAGGGCCGCTGACACTCAAATACCCAACGCATTGGGGGGAACCACAGACAGCAGCAGAATGTGGGTGGCTCAATCAACGGGCTGCGTGGTTTGTGCATGCCGGCCTACCGGTTGCGAGGCGGCCCGAGGTCTCGATTGCGACCCATGCCGTGAGGGCGGACGGAGATCTGAGCACATCACATGCAGCGCAGCGCAACAACGTGAGGGCGGACCATACCGGACCACACACGCGTGCGTGCATTCACTACGGGACGGTGTTGCTCTGGTCTGATGTCCTCACCCGTCCGCCTAGGAATTCGATCCCGTCCATGTCCTTCATGGCGTCCTCGGCGTCGCGCAGATGCTGATACTCGACAAACGCAAACCTGTCGAGTCGATGACCGACACGGTCACGACAACGAACGCACAACAGACGACAACACAAGACGCATGAGTGAGTGAGTTGGGTGTGGGCCTTGAGTGAGTCTCGCCCGCCTCGGCTCACCTGCCCCTGGGCTGCACTTCGACAATGCGGCCGTACTTGCGGAACCCGCGGCGGATCTCATCCTCAGTCGCATCCCTGACACACACACACACACACACACAGAGAGAGAGAGAGAGGAGAGAGACACACATAAGAGGTGTGACTGGCAGATGCTCCGATATATGCTGTGTGATTGATGCGACAAAGCCCCTACTTCCGGCCTATCGACCGCCACCACCACCACAAGGCCACGCATGCATTCCCATCATATAATCCAATGCCCAAAAACCGCTAATGTCCCATTATCATCCACATCCACATCCACAGTGTGTTGTGCAGCCACAAAGCCAAGCCAAGCCAGCCACAACAGAAGCCAGAAGAAAGAAGAAGCGTCCACAGCCCAGACTACGGCAGCTCGCTCTCTCGCCTCGCTCCATTGCGCCAGAAGCAAGCGACCACAGCCTAAGAGCCCTCTCTCCCGAGTGAATGGCCAGCCAAGCCACATACGAATGAGTCTCCTCGTGAAAAGCCTCATTGGCACCCCGAGAGAGTCTCCTGTCCTCTGGTCTCCCCAGATCAGGTAGCGTCTCTGGCTGCATCTCATCTGCCTGTCTGTGTCGCTTACGAGGGCAAGCCGCCGATGTACACCTTGTCTGTTGGCAACAACAGAGCCAAGCGGGCACAGCAAAGCAACACCACATCAGAGAGAGCACATGGTGAGTGAGGTGAGTGAATCTGCAGGAAGTCGCTTCTACTGCTCTCCATCTTACAGGGGTTGGCCTCCCGGTCGCCCCGCGACATCCTTTCCAGCTTCCCCGGCTTCCTTCCCTCTCCCTCGTGCCGCGAGCTTTTCGCCGATCGACGGCAGACAAAAAAAGAGCCGAAAATTGCTGTGTGCAAGTGTGGTAGAGGCCTTCCCAGACACATTGCCGCAGCTGTCAGTTCCAGCGGCTGTCTTGTTTCGGACAATCGCCTCGTTTCGACGTTTTGTTGCTGTTAGAGGAGCTGGGAGCACTGCAGGGGCGACGCGAGGCTGCTGACCGGTGCTCACTGGCTCTCTTCGAACCATCGGAACGCCTCAAGTGACACTCATCTACAGTGAGAAGGCAACACACTTTATGCCGCCGGCCGCCATTCATTGCCTGGCTGCTGTTGTGTATGCCTTTCGCCAGGTTCACAGGCGCGCCACGCCATGGATCCATACGAGGAGGAAATCTACATTGCTGATGACACAGCAGCGCCGCCCCCTCCGCCGCATCAGGCCTACCTACCAGCCATTCAGGAAGAGCCCGCGACGGTCGCCCGTCTGCGGAGCCAGCTGCACCGCACCATCGAGGAGAGGGGCATCGCGCAGTCGCTCAAGGCCCACCTGAGGCACCAGCTCATCACCACGCTGCGGGGCGGTGAGGGCGGTGGTCCAGTAGTGAGTGAGGCGCTGGGTCTGGAGGAGCGGGTTCTGGGCAGTTTGGTGGTGGACTACCTGAAGGTCAAGGGCAAAATGTACTCGCTCTCTGTCGTCGTGCCGGACCTCGGTGGGGCGCTGGATGGATGGATGGATGGATGGATGGAGCGCATCTGTCTGTGTCTGTCAGGCCTCAACCCGACGGACGTGCTATCTCGAAAGGACGTCGCCACCTCCCTCCACATCCCCCCCGGCCACCCCTTCACACACACATCAACATCTGCCCAGCCCGCCCCCATGCTGACAGACCTCGTTGGCCTGCTGCAGTCGGCCCTCAGACCCCCAAAGACAGCCGAGTGTTTCGTGCAGACTGAGGATGACGGCCCCGGGGAGGATGTGGATGCCAAGCTGTGTCGGCTGGAGGTGTCGCATCGGCTTGCGCTGGGCGACGTGAGGGAGGTGGACAGGGTGGGGGTGGAGGAGCGCATGATCAGGTTCCAGAGGGAATGTGAGAACAGGTCCGTCTGTGGTGCGTGTTACACACACCGCCCATTCACCTCTCTCCCTCTCTCCCTCTTGGTGGTTGTGGTTGTGGTTGTGTAGGTATCGTGAGGAGTTGTCAGCTGAGGTGTCGCGCATCCGTCAGCTGGAGATGAGCCAGGTGCGGCTGGAGGAGAACAAGCGCTGCAGGGAGGAGATGAACCAGTACAAGGCACAGCTTGACAGCCTACACAAGTACGCCATTGCAGTGAGCTGGAATGTGGCTGCGCAACAGACGCGTGCACTCTGTCCGTCTGTGTGTGTGCAGGGAGCGTGTTGAGCGTCTGCGTGTGAAGGAGCAGCGGGCGATAGAGCGGCTGCAGCAGAAGGAAAAGGACATCGAACACAAAGCCTACCAAGCAAGGTGACCTAGCCAACCACACGCAATCTACACAGCTAGCTATAGGTAGCTGTGTGTCAGCTCACTCCTTTTCTCTCTCTCTCTCTCTCTCTGTGTGTGTCTGTCTGTCTGTCTGTTACTCTCAACATGTACACCAGGCAGGATGTGATCAAGCAGCTGGAAGACATCTGGAAGAAGCGCCAGGAGACCGATCGCACTATACAGCTAGAGAGACACGCACTCCAGACAAAGCAACAGGTACACACACACACACACACACACGACAGACACCCCACTCATGTGTGTCTCTGTGGTTATCATCAGGCGTACGAGGGTCGCGAGATGCGCCTCCGTGACCGTGAGGAGAACTTCAGGGCCGAGAAAGACAAACGGTCGGCACCCGGAGTGTGGTGCCATCCACACGATTGATTACATGACACGTATGTCTGCCTGGTGTGTGTGTGTGCGTGTGTGTGTGTGTGTGTGTCTGTGTGCAGTGAGCGTGACTTGCAGGAGCGCATGCGTGCCTTCGAGCGGGAGGTGGAGGGCCGCTATGAGGAGGACAGGAGGAACCTCCACAGAGTGAGAGAGGGACACAACCAGGGAGGGACGCAGGAAGGCAGACGCGTCTGTGTGTCATTCATTGGTCGCAGGACCAGATGTCACTTGAGAAGGAGGCCGCCCTCGTGCAGCAGGAGAAGGAGCGCATCCAGGAGCTGCACCAACGGGTAGCCAACCACTTAACGACTGAACGCCGAGTGAATATGTGGTCGGTGTGTCAGCTTGAGGACGCCCAGGGTGACGCCAAGATGAAATCGCACCGACTTGCAGAGCTGGACACCAAACACAACGACCTGCGAAGAGAGGTATGTAGGTGATGACGCGACAGCCACCGCCCCCCGACCCCACCCATCGCCTGTCGTGTGTGCAGGTGGCCGACTTGCGTGAGCAGCTGCGCCTGGCCTACGCCGGCGCATCCAGAGACCAGCAGGTCAGCCCCCCGCACCACATTCACTCCTCCATCCACTTAGTTCATCGGGTGCATCGGTCGGTCGGTCGGTCTGTCAGGCCTACCGTGCGCTAGAGGGAGAGGTGTTGGCGCTGAAGCGTGAGCGTCAGTCGCTGGCCGACACGAGCACCGACGCCAAGGCGCAGTACATGACGCAGCTGCACGAGTACCAGCGGATGGCCCAGGAATACAAAGACCAATACGCCGTAAGTTAGCGAAGACAGACAGACAACACACAAAGAAGCTAAGCAGCCAAGGAAGGTGGCGCACGATGGATGGATGGACGGATGTGTGTGTGTGCGTGGAAGGATGTGCGCGAGGCGCTACGTCGGAGTGAGGAGGAGGCCCTGGCCCTCAAGCAGCAGGTCGCCACCTACGTGCAGCCGCAGACACACAACGATCTGAAAGTAAGCACACAGCATAGCACCACAGGGGTCCGCCAAACAGGCCAAACACTGCTTTGCGCCCCTCTCAGGCCGAATGGGATCATGCGCGAAGCGAGAACGAGACTCTGCGGGTCAGTTCCGGCAGCTAATGCGACCACCCGGTATATGTGTGTGTGTGTGTTCTGGTCTTTGTGTGCAGAGTCTGTTGAGGGAGAGCCGAGACCGCGAGCAGCAGCACCGAGAGGAGCTCGAGCGTCTGCAGAAGAAACACACTGAGACGCTGCAGGACTTCCAGCAAACCATCGAGCGATACAGGGTGGGTGGGTGAGATGGGATGAGAGAGATGCGCTCACCGCAGTTCCCTTCCTCACGGCATACACGCCTCTCTCTCTTCACCTGTGTCTGTGTTGTGCCTCTAGAGTGAGCACCCCCTCCCCCCTCCCGCACCCCAGCTCCCCTCCATGCAGTCGCGCATTCGGCACACGGCGACCCTGCAGTCGCAGCTCGAGCTACTCAAGGACACCCTCAACCTCGAGACGTCCACAGACCATGACGAAGACCCCGTGGCTGACGTCACGGCGTCCCCCATCGCCTCGCGCGTCGCCCGAGTCGATCTGGAGGCCGACACAGCTCGCCTTCAGGGCAGCGTCGAGCGGTTCCTGGCCACGAGAGACGAGCTGCAGCAGGGGGAGGACTTGTGGATCGCACCACCACCCGCCACGTATGAGGTGGTGCCTTACTCGGCCACTGCCCCATGCGCCCTTCGCACCAGCACCATGCCCAAGACACGCCACCCACCGGTCGCATCGCTGGCGCCGGTGGCCGTCACGTCCTCTCCCCTCTCGCCACCTGTCCGTCGAGAGGCCCCGACGGCTGCCGTGCCGCCACCGGAGAGGGCAGATGAGGAGAAGGACGAGAAATGGGCTGCGCGATCGACGAGCACCGAGGGACTCAAGGAGGGGCAAGACAAACAGCGGCAGCAGCAACCGGAGGAGGCCGCCGCACCGACAGACAGAGAAGACGTGCCGGCGGAGAGGCCAGATGTGAGCAAGCTGAGGGCGGCCGACACAAAGGCAGCTGTGCCAGACCGTCAGGGCATCTCCCCCGTCCCCCGCCCGCACGACACACTCCCGCCCCTGCCTGCATCCACCCTGCCTGAGTCGATTGTGCTGCCCTTCACACACGCCAGTGCCGCCATCCGTGCGGACATGGCGGAGAATGCCCCTGATGGCGCGGCGTCCGTCGACTCGTCCCCCATAGCGGCGGCAGACCGGGCGGTGGTCGACCGCCAGATCGACACTTTCATGCAGATGGAGGCCCACCAGAGGGAAGAGGCGCATGACAGGGGTACGGAACAGCCCGCCGCAGAGGACGACGCCACGCCCGTCTCGGCCGCGTCGGCAGCGCCCCTTCCCCCAGTCGTCACGCCTGCCGGCCGGCTGCCGCCCCTGCTGCAGCAGCACCCCGACCAGCACAAGCGGCCCTCACTGGCGGGGGAGTCGCCGTCCATCTCGAGTCTCGACGCATTGTTGCCGAGTGGCGGCTCACCAGCCACAGCGGCAGACACCACGAAGGACACCCGCAAATGGCTGTTGGAGAGCCACGACAGCCCTGCTACGGCTGCTGCTGGTGGGGACGGTGGGCGTGAGGCCGCTGCGCCTTCGGCCACTGCCGTGGTTGAGCGTGTGCGTGACGATGAGGGTGCAGGAGAGCTGGGGGCCAGTGCTGAGGAGAAGGCGCGAGTTGGGGAGAGTGACAGCCTAGCCGCGCGGCTGGACGAGCACATCAGGCGAGCGCGAGCGCAGAGGTGAGTGGGGTGGGTGGCCGAGATGGATGTCTCATGATGCGCGACCGGTCGCCCAGTTTTTGCGTGTGTGTTTTGTGTGTGTGTTTGTTGCAGGGCGGTCTCACCCACAAGACCTCCCACCGGCCCCGAGCAGCCTGACACACTCCCGCCAGCTGACCACCCTCAGCAGCAGCAGCAGCAGGAGCCGCCAGCCGTCCGGGGTGCAGGCTCGTTCGACAGCTGGGCAGTGGGTGCGGCTCGCAGCGGTGGGGTCATGTCGTTTGGGGGGATTGCTGGCGGTGGTGTTGGGGTTGATGAAGAGGAGGAGGAGATTATGGAGGAGATAGAGGAAGACCTGAGTGTCTTCAATGGTATGTGTGCTAGCGGAGAGGGGGACGGTCAATAGGCGTTCGTGTGGTGTGGTGTGTCGTTGTGTGATGTGTGTGCAGGTGAGGACGAGAAGGATGAGCCGGCGTGGTGATGCCGCCTACTGTTGCATTTGGTGCGAGCGTGTGTGCAGCAGACGGACGCCATTGACGGATGTTGGGGTCGGGCGTTGTCACAGTGCCGTGATGCATCACACTGTGCAGCTCATAGCACATCCCTGTCTGTCTGTCTGTCTGTCCTGGCTAGCTAGATCTCCCTTATCTCGACCAGCTAAGCTACCTACCTGTGCAGTGCAAGTCCGGTCATCACACGACAGACACGCAACGTGAGTGACCCTGGCCGGTGGGAGAAAGGCCCAGGGATATATCGGCGCGTACGTAACGTTGTGTGTATGTATCAATCACATGAGCACCGGAGCTTCCACAGCTGACTGAGTGATGATCTGTGCGTGTCCGGAGAGGTGGACGCAAGCCAAAAACAAAAAACTGATAGAGGAAGAGGATCGAAGAGCGCCGAGCCTCCATCCAAGAGAACGTTGAGGCGGTTGCCCCTTCCGCCCCCCGGCGCGGCCCCAGTTCGTCCCGAGATCGCAGCGAGAACACCTGTGAGATGCATAGCTAGGATGAGCTACTCAGGCGGCGGCTATCATGGAAGCTACCCTGTGTCGGGCTACTACCACCACAGCCTCCACCATGCCCAGGAGAAGTCCAAGCTCTCGCAGAAGTGAGTCAATCAGCGGGCAAACACGCACTACACGCACCAGAATGAAGGACACGGATGCATGGAAGCGGAGAGCGCATGGACAGGGACGGCCTTTGTGCTTCTGCGTGTCTTCAGGTGTTGGAAAACGAAATTCTGTAAGGTGAGACGGCCCAACAGATGGGGCCGCAAGGAGGAGCCGCCGTGGTGAATTGCTCCTTTCTTTGGTTGGTCAGTTTTTTATGGAGGGGCGCTGCAACCGGGAGAACTGCACATATGCCCACAGTTGCGAGGAAATGAGAGTCATGCCAAACCTGCGAAAGGTGAGTGCCTGGCAGGCCCCTTGTGTGTCTGTCTATTCTATGCACTTACTCACTCTGTCGTCTGTGTGTCTCTGCCGGCCTCTTGCAGACCAAGTTGTGCGGTCAGTGGCTGCGCGGCAAGTGCAATGATCCCCTTTGCAAGTTTGCCCACGGGGAGTGGGAGCTCAACCCCAATCCACTCTCCGGACCACCCGCCGGGCCAGAACAACAACCAAACGACCAGCAGCAGCAGCAACAGCAGCAGCATCACTCCATCCCCCCCGCACCCTCACGGCCCCCGCCCCCGCCGCCACGCATCGTCACTGCCGCGGACTACCAGCACCAACAGCAGCAGCAGCAGCAGCAGGAGGGCATGGAAGCTTCTCATGCTCAGTACCAGGCTGGATGGCGGCAGAGATTGGGGGGCGGGATGGATGACCTTGGCCGCCACCAGCAGCCGCCGCATTATCATATGATGGAGAGAGATTGGGAGCAGACACACATCAAGAGGGCGCGGGGGGGCGATGTGACGCCGATGGGCTTGAGTAGTGTGATGGAGCGAGGCGGGGTCCACCATGCTATAGGGATGGGCGGTGGGGATGTGGGTGTGGGTGTGGATGTGGGTGTGGGTAAGGGTATGGGTGTTGTCGGGTCGCCGCACCCACGTGAGGTGTCGTACTATGCGGAGCTTCAGGACGCGTGGCAGGATGCAGGCCGCCCGTATGCGGCCTATGGCGAGCAAGACAAAGGCGTGCAGTGCGAATGAGAGAACGAGAGAGTGAGGGAGTGAGTGATTGGGTGGGAGAGAGAGAGAGTGGGGAGGCCTGCAAGGCAATTAATTCATGGACAGTGAGTGTAGTGTGTTGGTTAGTTGGTTAGGGGCTGGCTGGCTGGGGCTTTCAAATCCTGTGCTTTTCACTCATTTCCTGCCTGCCTGCACGTGTGTGTGTGTGTTGTTTTGGGCTTGGTGAGGGGGCTAAGGAGTTTCCATGAGTGTGGGTGTGGGTGTGGGTGTGTTGGTATCCTAACAGTTCCAGCAGCAAACTAAATGGTCATTGATCTGAGATCATCTGTCTATGTCTCCCTCTCTCTCACAGATGCACACACACGCACACACATGCCGTCCGTCCACTCTCATGGGAAACCCGGCAGGCAGCACAGAAAATGCACACGCGCAGCCATACAGACAGCCACACACCACACAGACACACAGAGAGACCCATATATACCCATCAACCAGCCACCGCTACCCAGGGACGACGACAAATGTATCTACGTAACGTGACGGTCACCCCCTCCCCCCCATGAGCCCCGTAGGCAGCCCCCCGGCCACCAGCCGCCCCAAATTCAATAATGGCCCGTCAGCTGCCTGGCTCAACGCCGCTGTAGTGGCCGTCATCACGCCCCCTCCGCTACGCCTTCTCCTCTTCGCCGCCATGGCCGCCTCAGCCGCCTGCTGCCACTTGCTGGCCATCCTGTTGTTCTCCTTTTCCTTCTTGGCCATTGCCATTGGCCCGGGAGCCTTGGCCTTCTGCTTGCCTGGTCCCTGCTGCTGCTGCTGCTGCTGCTTCTGCTTCTGGTGGGGAGGTTTGTTCTTCGGTTTGTTCGGTGGTGTCTTGGTCTTGGTCTTGGTCTTGTTGCTCCCTCCCAGGCTGGGGGCGTCCTGTTGCGGCTCCTTCTTGGCTTGCTGAAAGACGAAGGGGGCGGGGGTATCGGACAGAATGTCGACGGCCGACCGGGGGCCCACAGCGGGCTGTGGTGGTGTGGAGGAGGACCCCAACGACCCCCAGCTCCTCTGTCGCTGGTCCTCCTCGGCCTTGGCCTTGGGCAGAGAGAAAAAGACGTCGCTGCTGTGGTCGCTGTTGGTGTCCTCTTGGCTGCCTGAAGCCATCGCGGCCAGCTGCAGCGGCGGGAAAGCGAGGTCCTCGCCGTCACCCTGCACCTTGACGGCCGGCGAGAGGCTGTCGACGGGGTGGCACTCCGTCGCTGTTTGGGTCTTCTTGATGAAGCCATCCATGCAGGCGCACTCGGCTCTTTCCCAGAGGAACGCCCCCGCCACTTGGCAGATGGCGAACGCGCCGCAGGGGCCGTTGGATACACACGGGCCAGACGAGGGGAGGCCTGCAGATACGCAGATACGGACGGGGAGACATGACATGGTCATTCTTTGTGTGTGGGGGCTGTGTGGCCGAGGGTACGGTAGGTACCTATCGGTGAGCATGTTCGCTCCTCGGCCACCCATGCGCTCTGACTCGGGCACTGATGGACGGGACAGGACAACACACACGCATTGAGAGTGGCTTGGTAGGTGGTGTGCGACTCCACCTGGCATCTGAATCCTCCCTGTGTGTTGATGCAGGGCAGCCCCGCCGGACAGCTGGTCTCTCTCTCGTCGTCGGCCCCCAGTCGTCTGTGCCACATGTTGGGGTCACCTGCATCCCCCTCTATGCTGCACTCGTCAATGTCTACACACACCCATCACATAAAGATATCAATCAGGTAATTAATGAGACCTGGATAGATGGATGGACGGATTGATGGATGGCTCACCTCTGCATTTCCCCTGGCCGTCCTTCTCGTACCCCTCCTGGCACACACACTCATACGCGCCAGCCGTGTTCCGACACACAGAGGGGGACGGGGGGCCGTCGGCTGACTCTGAGGACGACCCACAGAGCAGCTTCTCTTCGGCCTCGGCATCGGCGCATTCGTCGATGTCGGCACACGCGAAGCCGCTGCCTCGGTAGCCTTGGGCACACATGCACTTGGGGCCATTCCTGGCGCGTCAGGCAACACAACACACGGCGGCCGGCACTGTTGTTGCCCTGATTCCTTGTGCTTGTGGCTGTGCTGTCGGGTGGCTTACTCTGTTTCCCAGCAGGTTGCGAATTTGCTGCAGGGGTTCTTGCTGGCGCAATCTGCACACACAAGGAGAGCGGACGACGGGCATGGCATTTGTGGAGATTGCGCATGACTGGCTTACCGAGAGATGTCAGGTCTTTAGGCAATGGCTTGCCGGCCTGAAGTGAAGACGCAGAGAGACAGAGAGAGAGTGAGACATCTCAGATGAGATGGCTTGTGCCTACTTCCAGAGCTGCCAGCGCATTGACCGTCCCTGACGTCCTCACGATGCCTGCAAACCACTCAAACACACACCCATGCACACTCACCTTTTGCCCACGGCGCGGGTGGGGTGGGTCATCCCCTCTCTCACCGACCGATGAGTGCGGGCACTTTGGTGGTGGTCTGTATGACTCTGTCGATGACCTCCTGGCTGCCGAGCATCGGCTCGCGCCCCCAGACGAGGGCCACCACCCCACTCACATACGGCACCGCACAGCTGGTGCCGTCCTGCCAACGATACCCGCCGTCCAGCCACGTCGAGTAGATGCGCTCACCTACACACACACACAGAGAGAGATCCGATGATGGATGCGGGATTCTGTGTATGTGTGTGTGTATGTGTGGGTATGGGTATGGGTGTACCAGGAGCAGCGAGGTGGACGGACGAGTGTCCCCAGTTGGAGTTGGGCAGCAGCTTGCCCGTCTGTGTCATGGCCGCCACCGACAGGATGTTGTCCACGGGGTACGACGCAGGGTACGTCGGAACACTGACACAACCACCAGCCAGCCATAGACACACCACACACACGGGTGAGTGGTGGCTGGGGCGTCAGCTGGCAGGCAGGGCAGGGCAGGTGGGCCTACACGTCATTGTCTGAGTTGTAGTTGCCGGCGGCAGCAATGAAGACCATGTCGTTCTGACGGGCGCGGTTCAACGCCACCTCTAATGCGGGGTAGCGGGTCCTGCAGTGAGTGCAGTAGAGCAGAGCCACAGGTGCGTATGTGGTGTTGTGGGTGGTGGGTGGTGTGCTCACTCCACTCACCCCTGGCCTCCCCAGGAGTTGTTGGTGATCTTGGCGCCGTGAAGGATGGCGTAGTTGAGGGCCTTGATGGTCCAGGATATCGCGCCGTTGATGCTGCCAGATAGAGAGACAGAGAGACAGAGCGATATATAGATATAGATGTGATCGATGTTTCTCTGCCCGCTTCGCCTCTGTCACGTATGTCACTCACTCTTTGTCAAGGACCTTCACAGCCATGATCTGACACACGATGAAGCCATCCATCCATCCATCCATCCATCCATGTGTGTGTGTGTGTGTCCTGTCGTCCCTTCCCAGCCCACCTTGCATCGCCAGCACACCCCGACCACGCCCCGCCTGTTGTTGGGGATGGCCGCAATGACGCCCGCCGTGTGAGTGCCGTGCCCATTGTCGTCATACGGCCGCCCGGTGTTGCCCACGAAGTCGTAACCGTGACAGTCATCCTAAACGACACACACAGAGGAGTGTGTGCACCGCCTGGCCACTGGCATCAGCATGAGCATGGCGGTGCGTGGTTACGATGAATCCGTTATGGTCATCATCGATGCCCCTCTTGCCATTGCACTCGGCCTCGTTGCGCCACATGTTGTCGGCCAAGTCGAGATGATCATACTGCACGCCGCTGCAAACAAGGGAGGCATGGTCCGCCAATTGGTCGAGTACCCGCCCGCCCGCCCGCCCGCCCAGCCAGCCACTTACCTGTCGAGGACAGCGACGATCTGTTTGTTGGTGTCGTAGGTGTACATGTCATCTTCCGAGGCCTGGGGGACACCTGTCCATATCGACCACGCCTCTGAGCACACACGGGCACACGGACACAAACACTCGCAGCATTCATTTCATCTCCGTCACCACCGCACTTTGCCCACTCACCCGGCGTCTTGAGGCCGACCCCCCGTGAGTCCATGTGCGCCCACTGAGCATCAGCAGGACACACACAACCATTCGCACAAACCATACCATGATGTGTGTGCCTTGTTGGTTGGCGCACACACCCACCTGTTTCAGCACATCCGGGTCGTTGGGGAGGTCGGCCGTCGCCAAGCTGGCCGACAGCTCAGTCCTCTTCTCCCACTCTCCCTCCACCCTCCCGATGCTCTCCTCACTCTGCCCCTCCGTCTCTGCCTGCTCCTTCCAACCCCCGTCCATGGCCAAAACCTCGTCATGACTCGCACTCTCAACCAGGGGGTCGGCCCTCAGCTTGGCCAGCAGTCGGTCCAAAGGCAAAGGGAAGGGCCCCGGTCGGTCGTCCTCCGGGGCGGGGGTGGGGAACGTCAAGACCTCCATGTTGAGCGCAGAGAGATAGTCCGACTCGATGTTGGCGTCCTCACCGTCTCCCTCCTGTCGCAGAAGGCTTTTCAACGGCAGCGTCAGCCTGTCCAGCAGCTCCCCGGGCGGAAGCAGGGCGCCCAATGCGCGAGAGGGGGGTACGTCCGCATCCCCGCCCTCGTCTGGCGATTGAGATAGAGCGGACGGAAGAATGGTCGACGAAAACCGCTGCCAGAATGCCCGCCTCGCCGCCCGCCGATCCTCTGCCCCAAGCCGCCTTCTCTCCCCCTTGCCGTCATCGTCCTTGAACGCCAATATAATGGTGTTCTCTTCCTTTCTCCCCCGCCCACGTGTTGGTGCCGGAGCGGCCTCGACGGCCGTGAGCGGCAGAGCCATCTGGATGACGACAAAGGGAAGCGACAGCACTTTATCCATCGCGGCGGCAATGGGCAGCAGGACGTCGAGCACACGAGGGCCGGCGTGCAGAACCCCTCCCAGACCCTCGTAGCCGTGAGTGTAACCTGCTGCGGAGGATAGCCCTCTCCCTCTCCCCTCGCTGATCATAAAGTCGGCTGAGAGAGCGTGGGCGATGCGGCTGCCCTCCAGGACCATGCATAGGCTCAGCGTCGCCCATCCCCACATGAGCCACCGGCGGATGAACCGCCGTCGTCGCTTTCGAGGCTGGGCGGAGTCGCTGTCTGATGAGGCGTGCGCTGAGGGGCACGGCTCAGGGGGCTGCCTCGCTTCCCTCATGTATGCCGCCAAAAACGCCGAAAAACATTCCGTTTACATTTACACCTTCACTTGTACGAAGCCGTTTTCTGCCGTTTGATTCCCTCGAACCTCTTTCTTCTGCGACGAAGCCGCCCATTCTGGAGTTTGGGGTTTTGCCGGCGTCTTGTCATTGATGTGGAAGAGAGTGGCCCTCCAAGAGCAGCTGATCAAGAAGTTGCTTCGCGAGAGGGAGGAACTGGGCAGGGAGGCCAGCCGATACAAGGTACGCCACGGTCCCCGTGCCGACAAGGGAGACTCTCTCTATCTCACCTCTATCTCTCTGTTTGCTCCGTGTGTGATCTGTGTGTTCCCTGCCAGGCTGAGTGTGAGTACTGGCGCAGGAGGGCATATAGAGAGTCGGAGCAACGCTCGGGCGATGGCGAGGACAGCGGCAGACAGTCGGAGGGCCCCGCTGCTGCGCGAGGATAGACAGATAGCTGAACAGACCCCTCCATGGCCAGCCCACGACTTGAGGGGAGCTGGGGTGTGACGAAGTTGTGACCAGCAGCCTGGCGAGGGCTGGCAAGTGCTTCATGAGCACACCTTCTTTTTGGTCAAGATGTGCGTGTTGCGTGTCGTTCGTGTGCCTAGAGGTATGGTGCGTGTGCGTGTGTGTCCGTACTCTGTCTGCACTGGCCGCCTAGTCCGTCTATCGCCCCGGGGGAGGGGAGGGGAGGGGGCGTGAGTGTATCCTCTCTTTATTTCTCTGTGTATGCCACATGTGCCGGCCGGGAGAGAGAGAAAGAATTGCCCGGCAGAGTGTCTGTAGTTCGTGCGTGTGTGTGTTTAGTGTGTTGGGTGAGATCAAGATTGAGTGAGAGAATGAAGTGTCTTGGGGGCTCTTCGGGGTAGTATATGTATGGATGGGCGAGGTGGTAAGGTGAGAGAACTTTTTCAGACTCGGAACCGAGACCAGCAGCTGCTGCATGGCATGGATACATGGATACAGACAGACAGACAGACATGGGTCATTGAAGGTTGTTATTCACGGAGGGGACGGGACGTACACACTCCCTTAATTGGTCTGAGCACATCAGACAGACACAGACAACCGTGCCGACATAGGTGAAGATGTGTGATCCCCTCTGAGCTGTGTGTGCCATCGGGGGATGACGACGGCAAGACAGACCGCGCCGCCAGCCTCGAGATCGACAACCCACGCCTCACACACAGCGCCGAGGAGCGGCAACAACACGTTAGCATTCTGATCCATTTGCGTTTTCACGCCGGCCTTTGTGTTGCGTGCGCCATGGTGGCTGGAACTGCCTGACGCGATGCCGAAGGCAGCTCCCGGCAACATGGCGCCGACTCTACAAAGGCCCGGCCACCAAACGCAGCAAGAGACGATCACCCAATCCCGCCTTCTCTGTGCCCCTTCTGCTGTTCTCATCGCACGATCCCCATTCTCGCTCCTCACCCACCCTCCCTCTTTCCGTCACTTACTCAGTCAGTCCCTGTACCGCCTCCCCTCCCTGCCCCCCGACTCCTCCCTCTCACGATAGCCCCGCCTCGACCGATCTCGATCTCTGTCCCTCTCCCGGTCCCTCTCTCGGCTGTCGTCCCTCCGCCGCGATTTCCTCCCCCGGGGTGAGTCGTACCGGTCTCGCTCTCGGTCTCTGTCGCGGTCTCGGGCTCTATCTCTGTCGCGGTCTCTGTCTCTGTCCCTGCTTCTGCTGCGCCACCTGTGGTCGTTGGCCGAGGATGCGGAGCGGTCCTTGGAAGAGCGGTCCTTGGACCAGCCACGGTCGGCGTCAGGGGGGGGGGAGGCGGTGGGGGCCCACTCGGTCGGCGCGTCGTCGGCCAGCCACTTCTGAGGAACGAAACATGAACTGGGTGTGGACTTGGGTGTGGGTGTGGGCTTGTGGCTGACCTACCTTTATTTCTTTGGCTTTCTCGCGCATCTGGAGGAAGGCGATGTGGATCTTGCCCGACCGATGGTCGCTGGCACGCTTCTCGTCGCCTGCACACACACACACAGAGAGAGAGGAGTGAGCCGACACACACCCTGTGTGGCTGGCTGCCCGTGTCCCCTACCCTCTCTGTTGTTGGCGTTGAGGTATGCCCCGCAGACGTCGCACACCGTCATGCGCATCCTCTCCTGACTCCGGAGCGCCGCCACGTACTGCGCCTGGGCTGAGCCTGATTATTGCAAACCACACCAACACAGGCAAACATAGGCACACAGAAATGTCTTGGTTGTCGTGTGGCTCACTGACTTCCGTCGGCTGATGTCTTCATCTTGTGTACGGCTTTGTTGATGATGAGGTCCTTCTTCTGGGACTCGAGAACCGACACCTCCTGCATCGCCTTCATCGACCCGCCTACGTCACCCGACGCACCCAAATCCTCTGCCTGACACACCACAGACACACAGACACAGAGACACACACACACACACACTCCGCTACGCCGTGCTCTGTCTGTGTGTGTCTGCCTGACCTCTTTCATCCTAGCTTCGATGATGTTGTTGAGGCGCTTGACGTCCTCATCGCCCTCGGCCTCGCGCAGTCTGTTGTCGAAGTCGCGTTCGTCGTCCTCCACCCGCTGCTGGGCCTTGGCGATCTTGCGGTCACACTCGGCCAGCAGCTTGTCCAAGTCGGCCAGCAGATCCTCCTCGTAACCGTAGCGCTGCTTCCGCCGACGCGACTCGTACCTTTTGGGCACATTGCATCGGATGCATCAACAGGACCTAGGAATGTATGGGCTTAGCTTGCTCACTCGGCCTTAAGTGCATCGGAGTGGACCAAGCCGCAGTCGCCCATTGTCAGCCGCTGCCCACACACACACACGAAGGAAGGAAGCAGTGGTTCCGAGACGGGGCAAAGTGTGCAGATCTGGTCTGTTGCTTGGTACCATACCGTATGTCTGAGAAGGTCTTTTGGGCAGATGCCGCACAGGTAGTTCTTGCAGACGTCGTCATCGTCAAAGCGCTTCTTCTTCCCTCCCTGGCTATCGTCGACGATGGTGCCCATCAAGTCGGCCAGCTGCTTTCGCATCTCATCCATGGCTGCAACGCCGCCGCCGACACTGCCGCCGCAGCCGGGTACAGCCCAAACGTCTCAAGGAAGCACCCAGGGCCTGGCACGTGACTCTGGTGGACTACCTGAGCAGCATCGGATTCACACAGAGCAGCGTCGAGCCATGCATCTTCACACACGACGAGAGCGGCTTATGGGTGGTGGCTGTCGTGGACGACATGCTCTACTCACCTGCAGCACTCCTTTCGGCCTCACTTGCACATAGCAGAGCAGTCCATTCACAAGTCTGCACCACACGGAAGGCAACCGCTTCTCGTTCCGACAAGATCTCTCAGGAATAGCTTTCCTCACCTCCGTGTGCTTCGCCCTGCCGAGCGGAAAGTGGGAAAAGGGCAGCGGGTGAGCGATCAGGTATAAGCTCGCACAGATCTCCCTTCGGTTGCCTCAGGGCGTTGAGCCGTCAGAGGAGGTTGCCTGGTTGCTTGGCGTCATCTTGAGTAACTGAGATCCATCACAGGTTTCCCGCCCTGGTTGTCTGTCCGGGAGGCCTGGCCTGCATCAATGACATCGAAGCTGTCTGTGCTCATCTACGGCTGGTAAGCAGATGACACCTGCAGACCCTTGGCATCCCTGTCGATTGTCCCGCTGGCCATTCACTGACTCCTCTCTGCGTGCACGCTCTTTCTTTCATTCAGTTGCGGCGGTGTTGGCCGTCATTTGGTGTCGGCATTTCGCTTGAAAGGCTGGGCGGTCATCGGATGTGACCTCGCCAAATGTCAGTCAGTGGGCAGATGCACCGAGATGACGACAAACAGATGGACAGATGGACAGATGAGTGGATATGCTCATTCGCTGTCAGGCGAAGGCCCCGACACTTTCGTCCACATGGAGAGCGCCACTTTGATGGAGCAGGGCCAGCAGCTGCAGAAGGGCCTGCAGGTAGGCTAGCTTATGTGCCACGTAGGCAGGCAGGCAGGCGCCATTATGATATGATGCCTCCAACCAATCATCGTGTGTGCCTGTGGGCTGTGGCTGGCCGTTCTATGAAGGTGCAGGCGTACTTGGGCAACCGAGGGGTGCCGCTGGACGCCATCGTCTGTATGAGTGGGGGCTTTGCGATGGGGAACCTCAAGAGTGCAACGTTCCTCGGTGAGCGGGGTTGAAGCGGGACGACAAGAAGCCAACAAGGCATGGATGATGGTGTGTTCGTGTGCAGATGACGCGGCGAGGATGATCCATTCATCCGTTGGTCCATCGCTCGTCAGTGCCGTCATTGCACAACGACACCTCAAGGTGAACGAGAGCCGAGCTGGCCGACAGATGGGCAGCTTAGAACGACTCCTTTGTGAGGTGTGTGCAGCCCTTTGGCACCTTGTTTCTGCCTGGCGCTGCCGCGGCCCTCAACCCGACGCCGCAGACCATCTCGTATGGGGTCAGACCATTACCACTCACACACCCACACACCACTGACTGACCCATCGCGTGAAGCATTGATCGGTATGTGTGGCATGCAGGCGTCTAAGGCGCTCGTTCACCATCTGGTCAAGTCCCTCGCGTCAGAGGGCAGCGGGATGCCAGAAGGTATTTGGGCCTGGCAGGCCACGTCAATCAATCACTGATTGATTGGCATCCCTCTCCTCCTTCACCCACCAGGGTCGAAGACGGTCGGCATTCTCCCAACGATCATCGACACGGAGGCCAACAGGGTAGCTATGCCAGATGCCGACCAATCCACGTAAGCCTCGCACGCCACGCGCACAACGGTTGACGCGTGTGTGTGTGTCATGCCTCTCTGTCCTCTCCCTGGTATGGTAGGTGGACGAAGCTCGAGGACATTGCAGCTTTCATCTGCAGCGGTGCGGCGGACAACAGCGGCCTCACTAATGGCGGCCTCTATGCCTTCCACGGCAGCCAAGTCAGCCTGCAGGAGGGATGACCAGCCAGCCAATGGGAGGGAGAACAGGGCAGGGGAGGGCATTCACGAACCGACTGCCGCCATTGCTGCTCATTTTTCTGTCGTGGCGACACGTGTATACCGACGTGTGTGTGTATATGAGCTCAGACAGACGAGACAGGGTGAGAGACGGTCTGCTGTCATAGTATGACGGTTTTCCCTATTTCGCCGATGTGTAACTGTTGGCCATTGGTGTGCATAATCAGCGAACGTGTACGATGGAATGACATACATGAGACTGTATGTGTACTGATTTGTTTGTCCATGGTGTATGGGCCGGGTGGACGGACGGGCGGACTCATCCTTCATTGTAACGAATGGTTCATCCATCTTCGCACCAGCATACAAAGGCACGTAAGTGTACCACTCAGTCAATACCCAGCTGCAGACCAGACAACAAGTAAGAGTACCGGAAGTGGCCAGCAAGGCAGAGAAGCGAAGCAAATGAGCACATCGGCACACGAGATGTGGCCACGTCGATGAGGGCTGGACGTTGCAAGGCCGCCACCACTTGCCAACATGTATTCCTTCGGCCTCGCTGCGCCGCTGTGAGTATCTGTCTCACCCAATGACACGGATGTGAGAACACCAGCCACTCAGATATAAAATGGAGACAGCGATTAATACACACATCTGCACACAGTACGAGCGGAGCCCCCGTAGGAATCGGTATCGCCGATAAAGGCGAGCCTCCCCGAAGGGAAGTCAACACCGATAAAAGGCACGCACTCCCGAGGAATGACTTGCCACAGCCGGACAGACAGACAGACAGACGGACAGACAGCCAACAGACGCCAAGCCGTGTCTCTCACACAATCCGCACGAACGCATGAGTCGGTGAATCACGTACGACGGATATAAAATGTGAGCAGCGATTCGCAGCAGCCAATCGGTGCCTCTCTTGCCTCTCCCCTCCCCTCGCTCCTCTCTACATGGCATAAACCACAGCACAGTATCTCAGCCGTGCCGGTGTGCCCCGCGTCGATAGTACGTACTAACCACAGCTGCACGAGGTCTTGGCGGTGGTCATACCGTCACAGGGGAGGGTTCTCGATGGTGCCCGTTGGAAAGTGTCCTGTCAGCCAACACACACACACAACATACACACGTGGCCAAGGTCTCTCCCTCTCTGCCTTCTACCATGCACACAGGCGTATGTACCTGTGGGCTCGTCGGGGATGTCTCTGCCGTCGATGAGCTTGCGCCCGATCGACCAGCCGAGTCGTTCACTTCGCAATACCAGCACCACATCGCCCTCCTTGACTCTCGGCATGTTCGGTGAGCCATTGGGGTCCTGCACACGCGCAAAGTCCCGCCCTCCCTTGGCTGTTGCCTTCATCGCTCACCTCGTAATCGTGCGCAATTCTGCACCGCCATGGACCGGTGAACCACTTGTGCTTCAGTGCGTGTTGTGCTGACAGACATACCAACACAAACAGACACAGGATATGCGTATATGTATAAGAATGGGACCATCTGTGTGGACATACCAGATTTGCATCTGCGGTCCGGAACCACTGTCAGCAAGGTGCGAAGGAGGTCACACGCCTCCGGGAAGCGCTCCAATGCTTCGGGGGGAAAGTGCGGGCCCTGCACCGAACAACACAGAGAGACTTGCAAAGTTTTTGGCGCACAAGTTGTTGTGTGCTTGCCTTGTGTACGTGCGCCAGGTGTTGGACCAGCATGTTGTGGTTCTCTTCGTCGCATTCGCCCCGCTGCGGCCTGCACACACACACACACACACACACACACAGAGGCATCGTTTCATTCCGTGTGTAGGTGTGTGCATGTGTTAGTTGATGCTCAAGGAACACACAACAAGTGGAGAAATGTGTGTGTGGTGGGGGTCTATGTGTGTGTGTGCCTACATTATGACGCCGCACTGCCAGAGGTCTGTCTGTTCCGAGTACACGAATCTGAACGTCTCAGGCGACTGCATGAATGCACCAGAAACAGTGATTGCGTTTATGGGTTCCCATCGTGTGCGTGTGAGTACTCTACGATGAAGGTTGGTGTGCCGACGAAGATGTTCTTCAAAGGGTTGGTGGGGCAGGTCCTCGAGGTGTGCAGGGTCAAAGTCGATGACCTTGACCTTGCCGTCGGCGGCCTCAGTGGCCTCATACAGGACATTCAACATCTTCATGTCCCTGTGAACGATCTGCACACATACTGGAAACGCTGTATAATGAAGAATGGCCACACGAAGTGGCCCACCGTCCACGCCCTCCATTTGGGGAAAAGCTGTCCGTAGGGTGGTTTGTAATCGAGGTCGGCCCCCGATGGCCACGATGGCTTGAAGGATCGCCCGTCCGATGATCTGCACAAGGGAGAGACGGATGCGCACAAACGATGGACGCACATGTCTGGCCAGCGCACCGTATTGCGTTTGTGCGTGTCGGATGGGTCGATCGATGGGATACATCATGGCAAATTCACTCACCCTCGCAGATGCCCTTCTCACATTGGCCAGCACCACAGCTCTGCACCATCAGCCAACTTCTCCACGCCAGCCTCCCCGCAGCCCGTCGGGTCAATCTGAGAGGGAGAAACGCCATGCACACAATCACAACTATCGCCCGCCCTCCTTCCTCCTCCAAGAAATACCGAGAATGTGTAATTCTTATGGGATCTCCTTGATGCACTCTTTGGCCTCGTCACAGGCGGCCTTGATAGACTCTGCGGCCTCCTGACATGCGAGGCGACATCTGGCGGCAGCCGCACTGAACCACCAGCAGGGGCCCTCCTTCTCACTATGCACCTCCCACCACAAAGGGTCCACCCTTTCCCAATACTCGGCCTCCCCCGTCCAAAGGTTCTCGTACCAGCCGTCTGTCCCCTCCCCCGCCTGCCACACCGGTACTTCCTTTGGATAGTCCTCCTGATTATTGGGTGGTGGGGCAATCAGATAATGCGGGGCGGGAGGTGGATGATGGGGCAAACGGGGTGGTGCGATGGAGTGAGGCGGACAGGGCCTGGGTTGAGATAGATGTGACGGTGGCTGCGATGGTACAGAGGCAGAGGCCGCGAAGCAGGTGGCATTGCGGATTCTTCAGACACCCGGCAAAGAGTTTTTGCCAACGCAAATTTTAAAGTGTGGACCGTCTCCGTCTCCTGCCGAGAAATTCAGGCTAAGGTAGTGCCATCAACTGCATCCGAGCTGGGACGATTTGGCCAGGGTGAGATCTCTGTCGGCCAGCGCCGGCTGACGGAAAAATGGCAGTGTAGAGGTTCGTCACGATTGCACCTCGTGTCCTTCACGGCGGACGTCAGTGATCCCACCCAGCGCCCGCCACGACCCCAATTGTGCAGCAGAGGCAACTCGCATGCGGCGCGCCCACCGAAGAAGAGTCCTCCTTTAAATGAGGGCGCTCAAAGGTGTCAGTCAGCTGTTGAGCAATCAAGGGTCAGCAGTCAGCACTCATTCTCACTCACAGGAGGAAGAAAGAGACAGTATCGACGCCACCCTCCAATGCATATGGCGCTCGTATGACGTGGCATACACGCGCCGCATCGATTGGCTGATGTCGTCGTCTCTGTCTCTCTCTTCTCAACACATGAGTGTGTCCATCCATCCAGCCATCCATCCAGCCATCTTGAGTCATCACCATGCTCCTAGCAACGCAAGGACACGACACACACAACACACGGCACCGGAGGGAGGGAGGGAGGGAACGGACGGCACACGACCCTAATTGATCCATCCAGACGGCTGTCTTCCCTCTCGACGTGTGAGTGTGTGTGCATCGTACGAACCAAAAAGAGTTAGTGTTGTCCTCTTCCTCCCACTGATGTGATGTGATATGTGGGGCGACAGCTAGGTCATCGCGTCACGCAGCCACGAGCCCATCCATCCGCTCATCCATTCGGTCCATTTGTTGGTGCGTCAGTCACTTGTGAAGGTCCGCAGCCCACCCCGAAGCAACCGTTCGATGATTGCTGGGGGCCAAACCACGGCTCCATCACACGGCGACAGGACACACAGCACATCATGACCCAAAACGAACGACAGCGATCCCATCAGTATGGGAAAATTGAAGGAGAGAGAGAGGACACTGAGGGTGGCTGCCGGGGGAAGGAAGAAAAGACTCGTCTACCGATTGATTAGTGTGATGAACGGATCATTCATGGTACACACACCATCACACACGCACCTCCCCTCCCTCCCTCCCCCCCTCCCCGCTAGGCAGACCTCTTCCCGCTCACCCACACAGTCACTTCCATCCTCCCTTAAAACACACGCAGGCAGCCGAGGAACGATACTGACTGATGTGATGGTGATGGGTCTTGTTTGTCAGGGCCCCCTCCCCCTCTCCGTCTCACTGTCTTGTCAGCCGTCGTATGCCATCTCTGAGTATCTCATGGTTCGCCCGCCGCCCCTGCCGCCCCGACGGCCGCCCTGCATGCCCCAATCCTGCACACACGACGGACACAGCGCAGCCACACACAATCACATACATACATGGGACTCTCACGGACGGATACATCTCTCTCCTATCCCGTGCCGTGTCGTGTGTGGCGGGCGGACTTACTTGTTGCTGGTGTCGCTGGTCGTATCCGGCCGAGTCGGACCAGTCGCCCTGCTGGGGGTACCTGGTCAGGCCAACACAATACAATACACACGCAGGCGGAATGAGCGCGTTCCTCTGTGTACGTGACGTCCTTGTGAGACGCTACGCTGTCCGTCGTGTCCTACCTGTCGCGGTCGTCGTGCTCGTTCTGATAGCCGCGGCCACGACCGCCATAACCTGAACGAGAATGCACCGCATCAACGACCGGGGGGAGACACATCACAGTGGTTGATGAATCTGTGGGTTGGTGCAGCGCGTATGTGTGTCGTGTTTCTGACCTCCGCGTCCGCCCCTCATGGGTGAGCCACGTCCCCTGGGAGCGGGCGCCCACCCACTCCCGCCACCACCGCCATACCCACCACTGCACACACACACATATGGAGGCCGCAGACCGATCACATACATTCCGCTGCTGGCTGTGTCCCAGGTCGGCAGGTACCTTTGTCGTGGCGACTCGTAGTTCTCGTCGCCGTGCATCATCCCCCCTCCCCCCTGGCCGTAGCCCCCACCCACCCCGCCACCACGACCACCCCGCATACCGCCCCCCCGGCCGCCACGCCACTCGCCGCCGCGCCACTCCTGCCCGAACGGCCGAGCACGGGGCCCTCTGCCCCTGCCCCTGGGCGGCGGGGCGCCTGAGGCCTCCCACTGGTCGTCGTCCTGCATGTAGGGCTCCTCCTCCTGGTGGTGCGGATGGGACATGTATGGGGGCCGCTCGGGGGGTCCGCCCATGCCGCCCGACGCCCTGCCCTTGGAGAGGTAGATGATGCCTGAGCCGCGGGGGCGCCCCCCGGGGCTGTTGAAGGGCGACAGGCGGCCGCGGGGGGGACCGCCACGGCCACGAGGACGGCCGTAGCCACGAGCTGACCCATTAATGGATGGGTGGAATAGGGATGGAGCGCATGTATGTGTTGAGACGAGACAGGGTTATTTCAATGTGATGTTGCGTACCTCCCCTTCGTGCAATGTCCTCTTCCATTTCGTAGAACTTGTCGTGGACCCACTTCTTCTCCATAGACGCAAACGGGTCGCGACGACGGAAACGACTGCAGAGCGCGCGAAACGAAGCAAGGGGAGTGCATACGTCCAGCTGTCTGTCCGCCTGTGGTGGTGGTGTGTGTCGGGTGGGTCGGGTTGCTTACGTATCTCGCTGCGCCCTCTGCGCCTTGTCGCCTCCCTCACCCGCGCCATCCTCCATCCGATCGTCGTGCAAAAAATACCGCGCAGCTCGTGGCACGTACGTCGGGTCGTTCTTGTCTATCACCTCCTGAGCCGCAATCAACACACACAAACCACACAACCCACCATTGCCTCACACGCACGCCGACACGTCCGCACAAATCACAAGTCCCTCACCTTCTCGGGTTTGGCCTCCTCCGCCCGGCCAGCCTCCGCCGTGTCAGCAGCAGCAGCCGCGGCAGCGGCAGCAGGAGAGCCGGCGCCCTCGTCGCCGTTGATGGTGTCGCCTTCCTTTGTCTTGACGTCTCCCCCGTCCTGCTGCTGCTCCTGCTCGTGGTCGGACCATCGTTTGCCGCCCTTGTCGTTGTCATCGTCGCCATGCGCCACCTCGCCGTTCGGGAGGGCCGAGGAGGGAGAACCTCACACACACACACACACACACGACACGTCTCGGAATGAGTGGATGCCGTGCGGTGGGTGGTGACTGACCTTGCTGTGCTGCTCCGTCAGGCTGAGCTGCTGCTGCAGCCGCTGCAGCAGCGGCTGGCTTGGTCTCCAGGTCAGACAGGGCGCTAGCTGCACACACGAACGGACTCACAGACAGGCGCACATGGTCCTCCTCGCCGCACGTCGCTTGCTGCCTGGTCTGTCTGTCAGAGGTACCTTCTGACTGAGCGTCGTCTTCGAAAGCGTCCTTGTCGTCGTCATCGTCCCCTCCCTCCCCATGCGCAACGCGACGGCGGCGAGAACCCATCGTCACAGCAGGACAGATCTGACGGCCATGAGTGAGAGGAACACACTCGTCGAGACATCATTGGTGCAGCGAGCGGCGCACCCATCCTGTGCTGCCTTCCCACGGCCTCTCCTGGCTGCCTCGCTGACACCTTTTGTACCACTGCGCTGACAGAGTGCGTCTCGGCTCACCTTTCGCCTGTAGATGGCAGCTGCCCTTCAAACAAGCCCGATGCGCTCACAACATTCCCTCGGCACCGCTTCTTCCCTTCTTGCTCAAACGCAGGAGCTCGCACTTTTTGCGAGCTTGCAAAGACCGCTCAGATTCTGTCGCGTGTGACGTTGGTAGGCAGGAACAGGGATCAATGTCGGACGACGCTGACAAGAGTATCGAGCAATGGAAGATCAGGCGGCTGATCAAGTCTCTCGACAACGCCAGGGGGTGAGCGACAGCGGCAGGCAGGGAGGGAGGGAGGGAGGCACGACACACACAACTTCTGACACACAGCCAGGACGGGGACACTCACAGACAGGAGGCAGAGTGGAAGGGAGGGAAGGACACACACGAGCGGAGCGACGATATGAAGGCAGACAGGCGAAGACAGGACAGTCAGCTCTGTAGCTTCTTTCTCCTTCTCTGGTACATTTCTGTCCTCATGGCCTGCTCGTGTTGTGTGTGTGTGTGTGGTCAGGAACGGCACGTCGATGATCTCTCTGATCATCCCCCCGAAGGATCAGATCTCGCGTGTCAACAAGATGCTGGCTGAGGAGTACGGCACGGCATCCAACATCAAGTCGCGGGTCAACCGCCTCTCAGTCCTCAGCGCCATCACCTCCACACAGCAGCGTAATGACAAGCGCACCACCGACATGACACACAGCGACACGGCTGGGCTGCATTGATGGTGTCTTGTGTTGTGTTGTGTTGTGTAGGCTTGAAGCTGTACAACAAGACGCCGGACAACGGGTTGGTGGTGTACTGCGGCACGGTGATAACGGAGGACAACAAGGAGAAGAAGGTCAACATCGACTTCATGCCCTTCAAGCCCATCAACACCTCACTCTACCTATGCGACAACAAATTCCACACAGAGGTGCGTGCCTGCGAACACACACACACCGCAGACACAGAGGCAAATACGCAGTTGGGGGATGTGTGTCACACACACACAGGCGCTTCACGAGCTGCTTGAGAGTGACGACAAGTTCGGCTTCATCGTCATGGACGGTAACGGCGCCCTCTTCGGTGCCGTGCAGGGCAACAACAGAGAGGTAGCTACGCGCACCCCAGCCACACACCACACACACCACAGATGCAAACACATTCACTGGTGCCCATGTCATGTGGTGTGTCCATCTACCCTACCAGGTGCTGCATCGGTTCCAGGTGGACTTGCCCAAGAAGCACGGCCGCGGCGGTCAGTCAGCGATGCGGTTCGCGAGGCTGCGGCTGGAGAAGAGGCACAACTACGTCAGGAAGGTCGCAGAGACCGCCGTCTCCATGTTTATCACACAGGACAAGGTACGCACGCCGCACAATCAGCACGCAGCAGCAGCAGCACTCCCACCTTCACGCATGTCTGTGTGTGGGGCCAGGTGAACGTGACGGGTATAGTGATGGCTGGGAGTGCTGATTTCAAGACTGAGTTGAGTCAGAGCGACATGTTCGACCAGCGGCTGCAGGCCAAGATCATCAAGATCGTCGACGTCTCCTACGGAGGCGACAACGGCTTCAACCAGGCCATCGAGCTCTCGGCAGAATCGTAAGCTTCTCCCTCCCTCCCTCCCTCCCTCCCTCCCCCTAACACGGCCCGGCCACACAGAAGCCCCTGACCTCCACGCCCTGTCTGTGTGTGTGCGGCACCGCCAACGCAGGCTGGCGAATGTCAAGTTCATCCAGGAGAAGAAGACGATAACGCGTTTCTTCGAGGAGGTGGCGCAGGACACCGGCAAGTACTGCTTCGGACTCGACGAGACCCTCCAGGCCCTCGAGATGGGCGCCGTCGAGCTGCTCATCGTCTGGGAGAACCTCGACATACAGAGGTGAGTTGGGTTGCCATGTATGGCCATGATGCCCGTCCACTCATGTGTGTGGTGATGATGATGTGTGTCGATCTTCATCGCGTCAGGATAATTTTGAAGAAGCCCGGTGAGGACAAGGAGACGATACTGCATCTGCGCCCGGACCAGGAGAAGGACGAGAAGCTCTTCCGCGACCCCGAGACGGGCGTCGAGTTCGAGGTCGTCGACAAGATGGCCTTCACCGAGTGGCTCGTCAACAACTACAAGACTTACGGCGCCGCACTCGAATTCGTCACAGATCGGTACGCTACCTGCACGTGCACACACATGTGGATGGCAGATGTAGCTGGTGCATCTGTCCATCCATCCATCCATCTCTCCGTTTGTCTGTCTGTCCATTTTATGATCAGGTCTCAGGAGGGTTCTCAGTTTGTCAAGGGGTTCGGCGGTCTGGGCGGCATTCTGCGGTACAAGGTGGACTTCCAGGACTTCGACGAGGTCGTCGACAACGCCGATGACGACTTCATCTAACAATGAGGCCGCGGCAGGTCTGTGTGCATATCACGCAGACAGACAGACTGATGCATCGACTCACAGATGGACGGATGGATGTGGTGTGTGTTGTGTGGCGACGTGCGTGTTTGCAGGGGCGTCCAGTGCGCCGCTGCCGCGGCGTGCCTGACCCCCGCAGACGATCAGGCAATTACTGGTGAGTGGGTGGGTGAGTGGGTGGCTGAAGCCCCCTGCACATTGGTGTCTTATCTGTGTTTGCGGTGTCTCAGATATCTGAGAGAGTTTGGCGGATATAATCGCATAGATGGCTACATGTGTTGATTGAGGCCTAGTCCAGTCTTGCTGTGGAGGGCCGGCCATTGTGTGGGTGTCGATTCCTTTTCGGTTCTTCCTCTCTGTCTCTTCCTTGCTCATTCTCTTATCCATCCTTTGTATTGTTTCCGAATTCAGCTTGCCAGCCTCAGGCAGGCAGGCATGTGTTGACATGGCAAGAATGCATGGGATGCTCAGTCTCACACACACACACACAGCCGTCTGTCCGCCACTCTGACCTCTTCCTGCCGGTGCCTGCCGTCACGTTGGTTGCTTGGTCAGTTGGTGTTGTGGCTGATCGATTTTGGACCGGCTGGCTCGTGCAGACAGGGGAGGGAGAGGTGGAGATGCGCTGTGATGTGATGTGATGTGATGTACTGTGCCTTCCTGTGGTGTTTGTGGATGGGGTGCATCTGTTCGTTTCATCAATGTGAACTGTGCATGCGATTTGTTGGCTGTTGAACAGTGCGTGTGGACCTGAGTCCATGGTGTTTTGAACGCCTGTGAATGTCCGCGCAGGAAAATTCTGACCGATGCAAAACAGTCGGGGCGGTCGAGATTCATCGCGATATCAGAGACTGCGGCCAACTTTTTTTCCGATGAAAGGTGATGTGAAAGATTTCTATGGACATGGTTTGGCAACCTCGCTGCAGTGCAACTTGGGGCGGCCCTCTCTTTCCTTCCGAAGAGACGGCGGAAGAATTGTAAGATGTGCATCGAGCGGATGCAGACAATCGCGCGGCTCCCCGCACAGCTGTTCTTGGGCCTTCGTTACCGGGCTGAAGGAGGGGAGAAGGGAATGCCCCATATATATGTGTGTGTGTCTTGACCATTCAGATGCTGCTGCTGACGAGCTGGAAGAGCAGGAGGAGATGCGTCCATACCAGCCCGGCCTCCCCGAAGATTTCATCGAGCGCTTGTTCCTCACGCGAGACAACTTCAAGGAATTCCATGGACGAGAACTCAACGACATAATCTACTCCAATAAGACAGCACTGGAGCTGCCACATTACCAGAATGGGGCCCCGCCGCTATGCCTGTCGCCTGATGGGGACACCCAAGACGAATGCCCAGCTGACCGCCCACATGAGAATCTCGGTACGGCTGTGGCTGGAACACCAAAGAAACAAACAACGAATGCAGAGGGAAAGGGAGAGGGAGAGGGAGATGAGGGCTGAGGAAGGATTTGATGCCATTGGGCCGCTTCTGGTGCCGGTTGACCCGATCAACCAGGAAGAGCAGGAGCAGCAGCAGCAGTACGGCGCTATCATCGATGAGAAGGAGGAGCCCATCGTCGAAGACTTATCCATCGCCGATCTGGAGCAGCCGATGGAGCAGCAGCAGAGACAGCAGCAGCAGCAGCAGCAGCAGGGGTCTATGTCCAACGGAGTGCCAGCAGAGGAGCTGCAGCCGCCCCACCGCCCGAACAAGAGGAGTCGTGACGACGGCGAGGAAGAGGGGAGGCGCCTGGCGAGGACAGCGAGTGCTCATTCAGCAGCAGTAAGCAAGAGGAGCTGGCCGCATTCGACGGATGGGAACTCAACGACATGATCTACTCCGACGCACCCATCCAGGCCTTCAAGAGAGCGCTGGCTCTTCCCTACTACCAGAACGGTGTGTAAGCGAAAAAAACACTCCACATGACTCACGGATCTTTGTTTGTTTGCAGGTATGGGCATTGCTCGTGGGGGTGGGAATGGCGTGGAGCTGCCGCCGGCCAAGCTCTGCTTGTTGCACGCTAAGCCCACGTTTCTGCGGGCCCTGATGGAGGCAGCGAAGGGCCAAGCGGCCCAAGCCGTCAGTAGCGGTGGCCTTGGGAAGGGCAAGGGCAAGGGCAAGATGGGATTCTTCATCAATGACGACCCGCTGAGCTTGCGAGGAGGGTACAACGGCATCCCCACCATCACACTCGCCATGGCACAAGCTGGTGCGTCAGTAGGGAACGGAGTAAGGAAAGGAGGGAGTGAGGAAAGGAGGGAGGGAGGGAGGGAGGGAGGCCCCACATTACCAATCCCGTAATGGAAGGGAAAAAAGCACGACTCACAGAGACACGGGTCTTCTTATCTTCGTGGTCTGTATCTTCGTGGTCTGTTTGTCTGCAGGTATTGACATTGTGGGTGACGGTGCGAATCGCGCTGAGCTGCCGCCGGCCAAATTGTGTTTATTGCACGCTAAGCCAAAGTTTCTGCGGGCCCTACGACCCATCCCCCTACCCGGTGCCCCCTCCCGAACCTCTGCGGAAGCAGTTCCTCAGGAACGCCCGAAACGCGATTCTCGACGCCAACGAACACGCACTCAAGTTCGGCTACCAGTGGACGGCCAGCCACCTCATGCCTCCGCCCCAGACGGTCCAATCCACTGTCTCCCCGACCCCTCGGTACTATGAGGTGTCGCTGCCCGCCGTGCGGCAGCTCAACATCGAGGCGGCTACCGAGACGTTGGATCTACACCAGAAACGCCTGCTCCAGCTGGGGGCCAAGATCACCAGCTTCGCGCGTGGCGGGCTGCGCAACGAGGAGAGCACCGGCGGCTCGGTGTTCTTCTACGGTTCGGACTTCGACTACACCCCCGAGCTCAAGGTCATTCAAGAGAAGGACCCCTACATGATGCCGCCGTATCGGAGCACCTGGGACGGGGTCAACCTGTCCCTGCACGCCGCCGACTGGGTGGACGTGTAAGTACCTAGCCACACACAACGGGCAGGCAGGCAGGCAGGCAGACAGGAGGGAGGCAGGGAGGGAGAAGGATATCGATTCGTCAATCAATCCATCCATCTATCCCTTCTCAATTTCAGCGCTCTCAAGATTGAGAAGGAGGACCCCGCGGCGACCCTCCTCCTGACGTTCCTGCCCCACAAACCCAGCAACCCCTTCGGCTTTCCTGGAATCGACTCCCAGGCACTCTCACTGGCCACACACGTGGCGCAGCAGAAGACTCAACTCAAGGACCTGTATCTGGAGGAACGTGGTGGTCTCGTCGGCCGCTCGGATCTGTGCGAGCACCTGCGGACCAACACAGGATGGGGCGCGCTGTCCGGCGTCAAGTCGATCCAAGTGACCTACTGCGCGGGCGTCAACATCTACAGAGGGCGGGAGAGCAAGGGGTACCCGCTGTTGCCCAAGGCGGCCTGCCTGCCGCTGGCCATCGTTCAGCCCTCACCCGGGCAGCATCGCGCCACCAATGGATGGTTCATCACCGAGGCTGAGGCGGCCATGACGGCCATGATCGAGGCGGCCCTCAGCGCGGCCATCATCAACAGCAAGACCACCGTCGTGGTCGACCTCGACAGCGTCTTCTTATCGCCATCCCGCAAGCGAGAGGAGAAAGAGGCAAAAGGCAAAATCACTGGTAAGCGAAGACAAACGCAGCCACCAGCAGGCAGCAGAGAGACATATCGGTGTCGTGTCTCAGGTGACTTTCGCCCACCATTCCTGAATGGCCGGCCGCTGTGTGCGCATCCGTGTTCATCGATTCCTCCGATGTCCGTCACATCGCTGTCTACATTTTATATTTGTTGGTGACAGTCTCACGGGTCATGTTTCGCCTCACAGACATCTCATCTCATCTGATCTTTGGCAGTGATGCCATTTTGAGAGAGGGGACCTGACTTGCACAGGAGCTGAGGTGAGCTGATTGGATTGGATTGTCATTCGTACTCAACCTGTAATTTGCTTGAAGTGACGCACCGCACGAACAGACAGACAGGCAGAGAGGAGATGAGATGACATTTCGCTACACATAACACACTGCAGGTGTCTGTCTGCATGCCATGTAATGGACTACCCGCCGCACCCGGACGTTATACACACCGAGACACACCCGCACAAGCATAGCATGATGTGTCCCTCCTGCATGCGGTAAGCAGACAAGTATGGATCACATCAAGGGACATGCAGTACCTATGATGGACAAGTACGTGAGAGTGAATGCATTAATCGGCGAGTCATGACACCTTCAGCAGCGCCCCAGCCCGGCCCGGCATGCCATGTGATCGTTGAGCCCATCCATGGGGCTCAGATGGACACATGGCTGGCCAGCGCTTGACACCATTCTGTGTGGTGCGGTGAAGGTGACGTGCTCCATGTGTCGTCATCCACCAGACACATCCATCCATCCATCCATCCATCCTTCTCCCGTCCGATCCGCAGCGCCCACCTTCTGAGGTGCCTGTGTAGACAAAGCCGTTCTTGTCAGCTGCGAAGGCCTCCCCACCCTGCACACACGCAAGAGCGGTCCTGGAGGCATTCAGGAAGGTCTGAATGGGGAAGGCCCCGGTGGGCATGGGCGCCACGTCATGGAACGGCACGATGACGGGGTCGAGAGGGGATGACACAAAGACGTAGCCGCATATCGCTGATGAAGCAAACACACACACACACACACACACACACACAGACAGACACACAGCCACACACGGCAGGCACAGCGAAACGCAGTGATCACGCCTTCGTGGCCATTGCCCACGTACCTGAGAGGACGGCCACAGCGACGGTCCACGGACGAAGCAAAGCCAATGAGTGCGTGCAGATACGTCTGTCAGCCGACTGTCAGCAGTGCAGATCTTCAGGAAGTATACATCTCCATGCTACATGGTGCATGCAGGTGCCTCCATGCCTACGGTGCCTCCTTCTCGAGTGTGTGATGCGAGCTTGGGGGGCCACTGGGGGCTGCCCTTAGTGGAGTGCACTCGCACTTCACACGTGCACATTTCCTTTAGTTAGAAGCTTCCCGCTGTCTTCTGTGTGTCGAACCCGCGGAGCACCACCGTTTTCAACTCTCATTTGACGTGTCCCACATCCCTCTGAGGTGACCGAGCCAATGGAGCCGATGATGGGCGCGATGGAGGACGAAGGGCCCAGTGCCTGGCTGTTCTGGCAGCGGCACAACCCGCCCCCAGGCAGGGTCGGCTCGGGCAGGGCCCACTTGCCTCGCCAGCGACACGGCACGGGGAACCCGCTCGTTGCGCAAGTGGGCTTCCTGAACAAGTTCCTGAAGAAGTACATGGGGCACCCCGGCACCCGCGCACCGGCCATCCTCGCCCCAGGGATGCGTCGCAAGAAGCCCGACATCACCGACCAGCTCGCCCGGACGGCGCGGATGAAGGCCGCGACCCGTCGGCTGATCGAACACCACAAGGAGGTGGAGCGGATGGAGGTGCTGCAGCCGCCGTTCATCACCACACCGCCGTTCACGTCCGGCCGCAACTCGGGTGCGTCTGGGTTTGAGGAGACGCTCTCGCCGCCCCCGCAAGAGTCGCCCATTCCCACCATGCCATCGCAGCCCATGCGGGAGGGACCTGGCTTGCTCGGCATGATGCAACAGCAGCAGTACCAATACCAGCAGCCCCAGCAGCAGCAGTATACCGGGCGGGAGGAGAGCAACCAGGTGCCTATGCAGCACCAGCAGCCACTCCAGGTGCAGCAGGTGGCCGCCCCTGCAGCGGCGGCAGCAGCTGCTTCAGCCGGCCGTGGTGGTGGTCGTGTCAGTGGTGTTGTTGTTGGTGTGAGTGGCCAGGTGGCCAGCAACGTGTTGGGCAAGGAGGTGCGGCCCAAGCCGCAGCCACCCAGGGGCATCGGAGCACCCGCAGGTCCAGGTTTGGGCATGGGCCGCCAGGTACCAGTGGATCAGCACCCTCACACACACCCACAAAGCAGACAGACAGACAGACAGACAGAGGGAGGGAGGGAGGGAGGGAGGGAGGGCGAGAGGGAGGGAGATAAAGGCGCCTACCCGTTCCCTGTGTGCGTGTGGTTCATTCCTTCCTTCCTTCAGGTGCATGCCACGGGGCCTCCCCAGCCCCCTTCTGACCGTGAGGTCATCACCATCGACCTGGACGAGGACGAGGAGGAGCCCACAGGCGAGCAGCAGCAGCCTTCTGGCACCGGCAGGGGCGCGTTCGCTGCCACGGCACCAGCCAATGCTGCGGTGAGTGGGGGACGGAGTGACGGAGGGAGGGAGGGACACAACACAGCAGCATTTTATGCATCGGTCTCCATGCATGGTCGTGTCCAGGAGTATCGCCAGGTGTACCGACTTGAGGAGGACATCGAAAAGCTGTAAGCCGCATAACACACACAGACAGACAGACACAGACACAGACACACACACACACACATAGACACACACACACAGAGAGAGAGAGAGAGAGCTGCTCATGGCTTACCTCCCGACGTGGTATGGTATGTTGTGTGTCGTGTGCAGCGAGCAGGAGATGGCCGCGATGCGCATCGTGGGCGACCGCAAGAAGATATGGGACCTGCGCAAACGCACTGGGGTGCCCGCCAAGGTGAGTACGTCCGTCGCCCCTGCCCCCTCCCCGCCCACACACACACTCACACACACACACAACACAGCCACCCACATCACCTGTGTATGTGCATGTCTGTCTGTGTGTGTGTGCAGCCCAGTGGCAATGAGCGTCCGCGTGAGCAGCAGCAGCAGCAACCCGCGGTGACGCCGAGCGTTCCCCGCATGACTCAAGCAGCCCCTGCATTGCGCCGCAGAGATGAGCAGCTCAACGCCCCACGGATGACACAGCCATCCCCTGCCCCCCGCATGACGCAACCATCCCCTGCATGACGCAGCCATCCCCTGCATACCGCCGCAGGCTGAGGTGGGAGGATGACGACTTGCCGCCAGACGGGAGGGGGCTCGGTATGGGCAATGGGAATGGGTCCAAGCGGCAACGGCCACCGACAGACGGCGGGCGTCTTCAAAGCGGCCCGGCAGCAGCGAGTGCATTGGCCAGTGCCTCGGCGAGTGCATCGGCCAGTGCCTCGGCGAGTGCCTCGGCCAGTGCAGCGGCCGTGCAGCCATTGGTCCATGTGCCTCCTCCCTCGCTGCCGAGCCGACCCATGAAGAAAGTGCGGTTCAACGAGGAGGTGCACATCAACGGGGAGGGGGTGGGCCGGTTGAGCGGGCAGAGTAAGGAGAATCTGATGGATGTCGAGGGCGGCGAATACGATCAGATGGACACCGAACAGCCATCCCATGACGCAGACATCGAGCTGCAGGACCAGGACGAGGAGCCGGCCGCGGATGAGGACGAAGAGAGCGAGGAAGAGGAGGAGGAGACCTCTTCCATGGACCAAGATAATATGCCTTCCCAGCCGCTCCTCCCCAACCTCTTCACTCCTTCGCCCGGCGGCAGACCCGTCGGTGAGATCGCCGATATCCTCCCTGAAGATGTCATCGTGCGCCAATTCATTACGCGAGACAACTTCGACAGATTCTACGGACGGGAGCTGGGGGATATGATATACTCCGACAACTTCGAGGACTTCGAGACAGCACTGGGGCTCCCACATTACCAATCCCGTAATGGAAGGGAAAAAAGCACGACTCACAGAGACACAGGTCTTCTTATATTCGTAGTCTGTTTGTTTGCAGGTATTGGCATTGTGGGTGACGGTGCGAATTGCGCTGAGCTGCCGCCGGCGAAATTGTGTTTATTGCACGCCAAAGCGAAGTTTCTGCAGGCCCTGATGCGCACAGCTGTAGAGGTCGTCCGCGCGGCCCACCACATCGAGAGCAGCGGCGGCCTGGGAAAGGGGAAGGGGAAGGGAAAGGGGAAGGGGAAGGGCAAGGGGGCGTGGCTGAATGAGGACATTCTGAGCCTGGAGGGGGGCTACAACAACATACCCACCATCATTCTTCCTCTGGCGATGGCTGGTGCGTTGTTAGGGGAGGAAGGGAGGCGGGGAGGCACTCAATGACATCACACCAGCATTCATGGATGGACTGGGTGCACCTCTGGTGTGTGTACCTGTCAGGGTTTGAGGAGTACCGCGGTGACGTGCTGGAGTGCCTCAAGTTATTGGTTGGTTTCGAGCACCCCAGCCCCTCGTGTGACGCTCGTGACTTCCTCGGCTGCACCGTGCTGCACCGCGCTGCCCAGGCTGGCGCCGCAGATCTCGTTCAGTTTCTCCTCGATCACGTAGACCCCAGGATACCGGTATGCACACATAAAAGACATGAATCAAGCCCGTCTGCTGCATGCGCCCGGTTGCTGTGTGCCAGGACCACTATGGCAACCTGGCGCTCGATTACGCCATCGACTCGCGGACGCCGGATGCATGGATGTGCGTCGAGCCGCTCGTGGAGGGAGGCATCCAAGTCACCAAGGCCCACATACTCAGAGCCATCGAAAGGCAAGATAATGACGATACGATGCATAGATGGAATTGGCCATAGACGCTGACTGTTTTGTTATTCCATTTGTTGCCAACAGGGGTGCGTGGCGTTGTCTGATGGCCTTGCTGATCTTCGCTGCGCGCGGGGAAAAGATTAAGGATGTGAGCAGCAGATGACGCACAAGAATGACGTCCATGCAGATGCTTTGATTTGGCGCCCTCATTGTGCTTCCTGTTGTTGGCCATGTATGTGTTCAGGAAGTGATGGATGAGTTTCGCCAGGCAGCTCTGCACTGTGGTTACCAAGATGAGTTCGCCCACGTCATTGACGTTCTGCAGGAGCGGGAAGCTGAGCCTGGTCAGTCAGCTGGAAAGGGATCCAACGAGGGTCTCATATCCATGTTTCTGTCTGTCTGCCTGCCTGCCTGTCTGTCTGTGTGTCTTTAGTGTCGATCGAGTCGATCAAGTCCCAGGTATGCCAATTGCGGCAGGACGGCCCTTTGCTGTTGGGAGAGGGCAACTCAGAGTCGGGCATACCCACCAAGCTCCGCACTGCAATCATCACGCACCCAGAGTGCCCGTAAGCTCCCCGAAAATGTGTTCACTGCACACGTGCATGGTACGGCTGTATCGATTGTCGCTCTGGTTGCGTACGTTTGTGTGCAGCAAGCACCTGGAGCTGCCCGAGCCCTCAGACGACCCCAATACGCGGTTTCAGCGAATCCAGGACACGCCAGAAAATGCCACACGAATGGAGGTCAGCTACACCAAATGGACACACAGACAATCAACCGCAGATGACTGCTCAATACATGCCTGCAGGTGTTGGTGAAGGAGCGGCTCGGTGTGTTGCAAACGGCGGGCTTCCAGAGCACTGTGCTCATCAGTGACCCGCTCCCCGTCAGTATGGCAGACATCCTCCGCGTCCACGAACTCAAATACATCGACAGCCTCAAAGCGGCGTAAGCAGCCAACAGCGAGACGGCATGAAATGAGCAAGCAGTGAACATCTGCACCTGTGTATTCTCCCTCTTGATGCGTCAGCACCCAGCAGATTCGGGACAACCCCGGCGCTCGGGCAGGTGAGATGCCAGACCACACGCCAACAGCCTTGGCTACATATCCATTTCCCCTGTGTGGTGTATGCTTCATGTAGATTTCGACGGAGACACTCCGCTGAGCTCCCACTCGCTCAGTGCGGCCATGTGTGCTGCGGGCGCGGTCATTGAGGCGGTAGGTTGTTGCAGAACACCACCAGAGACCTCCTCTTAATGCCAAAGCTTAGTCAAGCCATGTGCCTTAAAATGCAGGTGGACCAGGTCATGGACCCAACGACCAACATCAGAAATGCCTTCTGCGCAAGTACGTGCAAAGAGACATGTGATTCGTGGATGTATGCATGCATCTTGTTGGTTTTTCCTTGCTGTGCGCAGTCCGTCCACCCGGTCACCATTTGGGTCCAGCTGGGGCCAACGTGGAGGACACTCAAGACGAAGACCTCATGTACACATGCATACCAACCACATACACTCACAAACAATGGGCAGATGGATGGATGAATGTTTGTGCTGTCCGTGTGTCTCACAGTGTGGGCAGCCAAGGCTTTTGTCTGCTCAACAATGTGGCCATCGGGGCTGCCTACGCTCGCGCAGTCCATCGGAGGCACGGTACGTTATCTGATGTTGCTTTCTAATCGCCTGTGTGTATGTGAATGAGTGAATGTGTAGGTGTGGAGCGGGTCGCTATCGTGGATTTCAACGTCCACCATGGGAACGGCACGGAGGTCATCGTGCGAAATGTCCGAAGACGCGTCAGGCAGCAGAAGGTGAGCTCAACTCATCGGTCCTTCCCTAATACGAATAACTGGCCCCCACTCTATCTGTCTCTGTCTTTCCGGTGTTGTGGCGGCTGTGTGCAGGTGTCGTTCCCAGCTGGTTCAGACCGCTTCATGCGGGCGCAGGTGTCGTTCCCAGCTGGTTCAGGCCACTTCGTGCGGGCGCAGAGCCTGACGTTGACGGAGGACGCCTTCCAGCTGTGGCTCGACGAGACGGATCCAGACAACATATTCTTCGCATCCATACATGGTAACCACACCACAAAGCAAGCCACAACATCACCATCTGATTGGTCTGTCTCCGGTGCCTTTTGTTCTCTTTCCAGTCTATGATCCGTCGACCAATTTCTACCCCGGGACCGGCGGCCCCACACACGACCGCCCCAACGTGCAGGGCAGCGAGAGTGTCGGCTCGCCCCCCCTTGGCCCCTCCCCCACCATCATCAATGTACCCCTCCGCCCCCTCATGTACTGCACCAACACTGACGAGCAGCACAGGCTAGCCGGCCTCGAGGGGATGGATGCGTCACAGCAGCATGAGGGGGCGGGTGAGAATGGTGGCGAAGGCGGGATGGCGCGGCGCTGGCTGAAGGAGCGGACAGAGCATGCCTTCAGGGAGAAGGTGTATGGCTTCCGGCTCCACTTTGAGACCGAGGTGCTCCAGCCACTCAGGAAATTCAAACCAGGTAAGACAGACAGACAGACAGACAGCGATGACAGCGAGTCCCTTCATTCTTCCTCTTTTACCCTTCTGTGTGGTGTACAGACATCATCTTCATCTCGGCGGGGTTTGACGGCCACAAAGAGGATGACCTGGGCGGCCATACTATGTCTATTCTGACTGAGTGGGACTACGAGTGGGCCACTCAGAAGCTCATGACCGTCGCAAACGATCATGGAAACGCCAGAGTTGGTAGGCCGGCAACGAATGACAAGCACAAACACAAGACCCGCATTTGCCGATGCACGCTGTATTTCTGTGTCTGTATCGATTCATCAGTGTCGGTACTGGAGGGAGGGTATAACACTCGTGGTAACGCGCTCTCTCCCTTCGCCCAGAGCGTGGCGGCACACGTCAAGGCCCTCATGTACACCCCCACCCGACGTGGCTACACCCATGAGGTGGATCCAGACAAGGCAGAGCAGGCTCTCGAACAACACCAGCAACTCGTCATCTCATGCTCAACACCCAAGTAAGACCCTTTACCCAGACACCTACTTGCGAATCGATGACTGCTGTTCACTCACTCGTCTGTTGTTTCGCCAGCGACACGCCGTTCCAGTACCCTGCTCGTGTGCCGAAGCGTCCCCGTGCCGAGGAGATGTCCCCGGGGGCAGGCTACCCGCCGCCGCCCGACGAGAAGGCGCTCACGGGCGAGTGGGCGGTGGAGCGGCTGCGGGAGGTGCAGGGGGGACCTGAGGGACGACTCCCATCCATGCCCTTCGGCTACATGCAACCAGAGGGACAACCACCCGCGTAAGCAATCGTATAAACAAATGAAGATCCACCTCACCAGTCCAATGCAGCATGGGGTGGCATTCCCGTGTCCTCTTTTTATCAGGTCCAAGCGTCTCTGTCGCAGGTTTGTAGGCGATGAGGAGGACCAGGACATCGGTGAAGACGCTGCTGACAGTGACCGTGATGAGCGCAAGAGGAAGCGCGACGACAGGGGCGACGACAGGGGCGACGACAGCGGCCAGGACAGCCGCAGCGGCAGCGGCAGCGACAATAACAGCAGCAGCTCCTCTGGCTCCTCTGAGAGTGACACGAGGCGGCAGAGGGAGAAGGCAAAGAGGAAGCGCGACGACAGCGGCGACGACAGCGGCGACGACAGCGGCGACGACAGCGGCCAGGACAGCGGCGACGACAGCGGCGACGACAGCGGCCAGGACAGCCGCAGCGGCAGCGGCAGCGGCAGCGGCAGCGGCAGCGGCAGCGACAGTAACAACAGCAGCTCCTCTGGCTCCTCTGAGAGTGAGACGAGGCGGCGAAGGAAGAAGGCAAAGAAAGCCAAGGAGGAGACAGAGGTCAGCAGATAACAGAGAGAGAGAGGGAGGGAGGGACGCGAGAGCGGGTGTCTTGGACCATCTGTGTGTCTGTGTGTCTGTGTGTCTATGTGGCTGTGGCTGTATGCTGTGTGCAGAACTGTCAAGTGGAGCAGCAACGTCAAGCGGAGCTGTTTGCCGCTAACGCCATCGGAGCGGTACCCTCTACGGCCGTCAATCCGAATGAGGGTGAGCAGCAGACGAATGAGTGAATGCAGGTGTGCGCGCAGCAGCATGGTGATGGATGTGGTGTGTGTTGTGTGGTGACGTGCGTGTGCGCAGGGGCGTCCAGTGCGTCGCTGCAGCGGCGTGCGTGACCCCCGCAGACGATCAGGCAATTACTGGTAAGTGGGTGGTGGGGGCGGTGAAGCGCCCTGCACATTGGTGTCTTATCTGTGTTTGCGATGTCTCAGATATCTGCGTTTGGCGGATGTAATCGCATAGATGGCTACATGTGTTGATTGAGGCCTAGTCTAGTCTTGCTGTGGAGGGCCGGCCATTGTGTGGGTATCGATTCCTTTTCGGTTCTTTCTCTCTCTCTCTTTCTTGCTCATTCTCTGTTCCGTCCTCTCTGTATTGTTTCGGAATTCAGCTTGCCAGCCTCAGGCAGACAGGCAGACAGGCAGGCAGGCACATGACATGAGAATGGATGTGATGCTCGGTGACACACACGCACACAGCCGTCTGTCCGCCACTCTGACTTCCTCCTGCCGGTGCCTGCCGTCACGTTGGTTGCTTGGTCGGTTGGTGTCTTCGTTTCTTCCCTCTCTTCCTCTCTTCGTCTCTTCGTTTCTTCCCTCTCTCATCCATCCTCCCTGTATTGTTTCCGAACTGTGTTTTGTGTCTGTGTCTCCCGTTCACCATGTGTGCGCATTGATTAATTGGATTTGCTGCCTGTGGATCCATCCATGATCGAGTGTTTGTGGTGTTCTGAATGTTCCTTTTGACACGGAAGGGATGCACCCACCAAGGTCGGTCAGCCTACGTAGACAAAAGCCACATTGCATGTTTACACGCCCTCGCAGCTCACAAGGAGACAGACAGGCAGACAGGCAGACAGGCAGACAGGCAGACAGGCAGACAGGCAGACAGGCAGACAGGCAGACAGACGGACGGACGGTCGACGAGTCGATAGATGCCTTACCCGGGAGAGCGCAGGTGCTTGGCATTGTGGGTGAGGTGGGTGAGGCGCCCTGCACAAGGTGGAATCATATCTGTTTGTCGCGTCTGATGACTTTGGCGCACATAATTGGCCGGCCAATGTGTGTGCATCGGTGTTGATCGATTCTGCTGACGTCCGCCACGCGTGCCATCCCTTTCATGTGATGTGTGTGGACAGACATCATGGCCACGGCGTGAAGGGAGGCATTATCGCTGCCTCCATTTCATTACATGTGAGTGGCGCTATTGCGCAGCTGATGCTGCTGATCGTCTGGTGACCGTCTGAGGTTTAGCCTCACCAACTGACATTTGATCTTTGGCTGGAAGCATTCATCGTATCACATCTCATCAACGAGTCACCCATTCCAACACAAACGGCCACACACCAACACACAAGAAAAGAGAAGCAAACCAACCAGCAAATGCACAAGTGCTGTGTGTTTGAACGCTTGTGAATGTCCGCGCAGGAAAATTCTGACCGAAACGGAGTGCGGGACGGTCGAGATTCATCGCGATATCAGAGACTGCGGGCCAACTGTTTTTTGATAGAAGGTGTTGAACTTGGAGCGGCCCTCTCTTCCCTTCCTTCGCCCGAAGGCAGCAAGGCAGCGAGGCCACGGGCATCTCAGCCGCCATCGCTCGGCGCAAGGACGCCAATGACGAGCAAGAGGAGCTGGCCGCATTCGACGGATGGGAACTCAACGACATGATCTACTTCGACGCACCCATCCAGGCCTTCAAGAGGGCGCTGGCTCTTCCCTATTACCAGAACGGTGTGTAAGCGAAAAAAGCACTCCACGACTCATGAAGATGGGTCTTTGTTTGTTTGCAGGTATGGGCGGTGCGCGTGGGGGAGGGAATGGCGTGGAGCTGTCGCCGGCCAAGCTCTGCTTGTTGCACGCTAAGCCCACGTTTCTGCGGGCCCTGATGGAGGCAGCGAAGGGCCAAGCGGCCCAGCCCGTCAGTGGCGGCGGCGTGGGGAAGGGCAAGGGCAAGGGCAAGATGGGATTCTTCATCAATGACGACCCGCTGAGCTTGCGAGGAGGGTATAACGGCATCCCCACCATCACACTCGCCATGGCGCAAGCTGGTGCGTCAGTAGGGGAGGCAGCGAGGAAAGGAGGGAGAGAGGGAGGGAGGGGAGGCCATGAATGAGCATGGATGGCCTGGGTGCACGTATCTGTGTATGTATCTGTCAGGGCTCGAGGAGTGCCGCGGGGATGTGTTGAAGTGCCTACAGTTGTTGGTTGCTTTCGAGCACCCCAGCCCCTTGTGCAACGCCCGAGACTTCAACGGATGTACCGTCCTGCACCGCAGGTCGCTGAATGAAGCACGTCGAGGCCAACGTACCGGTATGATTACGAAGTGCATGGATGCGGCAGATCAGATGAGGTTGTGTTGTGTTGTGTTCTGTGTGTCAGGACTACCACGGCAACCTGGCATACATACACTCACAGAAAGACAACGTGCACGGCACATAGATGGATGTTTGTGCTGTCCGTGTGTCTCACAGTGTTGGCAGCCAGGGCTTTTGCCTCCTTAACAATGTGGCGATTGGGGCGGCTCACGCTCGAGCACGATATTGGAGGGAAGGTAAGCAAGCTAGCAGACCACAGGCACAACAAGCCACATTCCCATCGATTTCGGATGTATCCGTGTGTGAAGGGGTGGAGCGAGTCGCCATTGTGGACTTCGACGTCCACCACGGCAATGGCACCGAGGTCATCGTCCGAAACGTCCGCAGACGCATGAGGACGGTGAGCTCAAATGACCCTCACTGTACCTGTCTCTGTCTTTGCGTTGCTGTGATTAATGTCTGTCTGCAGGTGTCGTTCGCACCGCCCTCCGGTCGCTTTGTAAGTGCGCAGGGCCTGACGCTGCAAGAGGAGTCTTTCAAGTTATGGCTCGACGAGACGGATCCCGACAATATCTTCTTCGCATCCGTACATGGCAGCCACCCCACACAAAAGGTGGGTGTGGCATCCTGCCACATCAGCTGTGGGCGAAATCGGCCGGCCATCGTGGGGTGTGCCGGGGGAATCGGGTACTCGATTCCTCCGATGTCCGTCACATCGCTGTCTACATTTTATATCTGCTGGTGATCGTATATTTTGTGACAGTCTCACGGGTCTCATGTTTAGCCTCACAGACGTCTCATCTCATGTGATCTTTGGCAGTGATGCCACTTTGAGAGAGTCGACTTGACGTGCACAGCAGCTGATTGATTTGAATTGGATTGTCATTCATACTCAATCTGTGATTTGCTTGAAGTGACGCACCGCACGGACAAACAGAGAGACAGACAGACCAACAAGAGATGAGATGACATTTAGCTATACACATAACACACTGCAGGTGTCTGTCTGCATGCCATGTAATGGACTACCCGCCGCGCCCGGACGTTATACACACCGAGACACCCCCCCCACAAGCATAGCATCATGTGTCCCTCCTGCCTGCGGTGAACAAGACAACGTATGGATAGAGAGAGATATGCAAGTAGCACCTATGCACAAGCACGTTGGCACTCTCCACGCGCACCCGTCGAGCGGCGAGTCATGACATCTCCAGCAGCGGCCCGGCCCGGCATGCCATGTGATCGTTGAGCCCATCCATGGGGCTCAGACGGACACATGGCTGGCCAGCACTTGACACCAATGAGTACGACCACTTGACGCACACAAATGCAACACGCACACAACACACACACAGAGGCTGCCCTGCCCTGCCCTACCCTGTTCCCCCCCC